CAGGCTCAGTGAATTTGCGTCATGTGTATAGGGACTGACCGGATGGTTGAAAAGGAAGCTGGTCACGATCTCCATCCTCGGGCGGATTTGGGTCCCATTCCTGACCCGCAAATAACACATTCCCCCCCCCGGCACCGTTTACACAACCCAAGCAAGGCATAGCCCCAACAAAAAGACATCCAGCGTAAAGCGAAGGTTAGCTAAGCTTAGGCTTTTGTCGGTCCTTTGGGCAGGTGAGGTTTGAGGTGAGGGATCCATCCACAAGCCAGCTGTCCTGAACTTCCAAGGCGAACGAATGCATAGACCAGGCGGCGTCTCTTTCTTTTGGTTGGTTGAAAGTACTGTAAAGGCAAACCATTCCATTTGAGGGTGCCCCCATTTTGAAGCAAACCCGTGTTACGATTCGTTCATGCCGCTTCAATCATGGAAACTGGGCACAGTATATGTTGCGTGAGAACTTGGCCCCAGTTGTCCTGCGTTCTGAGGGGAGGTAGTGTTGACCCAGAATTCTGCGGGAGCCTTGTGGTGTCCCTTTTAAAACCACCCGAAAGGGTAATGTTGACCCCATATTGATTGATCCCAGTTTATTAGGGTGTCCCTGGGTTTAGTGACCACCTTTGTGGTTTCTTGAGTTTTGGCCCATTTCACCTTCAAAGGGACGCCAAAAAGGAGGGGGCTCCGGTATGACTCCGGTATGACACCAATTCCCCTCGGCGCCTTGGCTGCGGTAGCTTTCGCCTGGCTCTCGCTTTTTGGGCGTCGTTTTTGGCCTCGTTTCCCGGCCCGGAGGAATTCGCCCAACATCCTTTTAGAGCTACTTTAGAAGACCACTAAGACCCCCCTCCCTTGCAGGGTTCCTGAATTTATCTCACTCAGCCCCCTCAAATGCCTTTTTCTTCACACAGGCTTGTCCCCAACAGGGCGCACGCAAATCAGCCCCGGTTGGCCTTTGTGCCTCAAAATCAACCATTGGGTTTGGTTGATTTTTTTTATCCAACCTCAATGCAATAGGTACTATTTATTGAAGATGCACCCCAGTTGACATTTGTTGTTGGTTCAAAGCCCGTTAAAACATATCCCCGAACTTTCCCATGAGCAAGGTATTGACGATAGGCTAAGGCAGAATACTTGGATGTTCAACCTACTGACTAAGAGGCTGTGACCATTACTTGATTGTTGGCAGGCGTGAAATAGCAAACTTTCTCGGCGGGTCAAAACTCCAACCCCCCCCCCCCCCCCGGCCAACCCACTTATCTTGCTTCGATCTAGCCGTTGTGCGCAAAACCCCCGGACTTACTGTGGAGGTCTGCCGTGTGAATACCGAATCCCGAATCCCGAAAATGAGAATCGAATCCCGAATCCAGAAAATTATATCCGAATCCCGAATTCAGAAAAATGAAATCCGAATCCCGAATCCCGAAAATGTGATTCGAATCGTGAATCCCGAAAATGAGATTCGAATCCCGAATCCCGAAAATGAGAATCGAATCCCGAATCCAGAAAATGAAATCCGAATCCCGAATCCAGAAAATGTGATTCGAATCCCGAATCCCGAAATATCCCGAGATTCGAATCCCGAATCCAAAAAAAGTGAGATTCGAATCCCGAATCTTGAAAAATGTGAGTCGAATCCCGAATCCCGAAAATGAGAATCGAATCCCGAATCCTGAAAAATGAGATTCAAATCCCGAATCCCGAAAATGAGATTCGAATCGTGAATCCAGAAAAATGTGATTCGAATCCCGAATCCAGAAAATGTGATTCGAAGCCCAAATCCCGAAATTGTAATTGGAATCCCGAATCCAGAAAAATGAGAGTCGAATCCCGAATCCAGAAAATGTGATTCGAATCGCGAATCCCGAAAATGAGATTCGAATCGCGAATGCCGAAAATGAGATTCGAATCCCGAAATGTGATTAAGTCCCGAATCACGAAATTGGCAGCGACCTCCGGAAAGAGCTCCACAAGAGCGTACGAACACCTCAGTCGCCCCTAGGATCACTTGCTGAGTGGACCCCCCAAAAATAAGCAAACTTGGTGAGTACCACTAAAATGGTCCAAACCCACAACGTTTCAAGTCCAAGAAGTCAGGGAGTGAGTAGGGACCCCAGAGCTTAGCGTACCTCGACGCGACCGTCGACCCGCCTTGGCCTTGCTCTTGGCGCTCTTAGCCTTGGCCTTTGCTTTGGCATCCGCCTTTGCCTGCGCTCGAGCGGGGCTCGAAAAACCCGTGGTCGTTAGACCTGGAGTCAGCATTCCACTTTTTGCCTACCCCATAGACTTAAACCCAGGGATCATGGGAATGAACCACCCCCAGGTTTAAGTCTACCGGGTAGGCCCCTGCCTCGTGTCTCAGATTCCCAGATCGCAGGTGGGATTCATGGGCCTGGTTCTTCTGGACAGGAATCCCACAGCAGAAACGCCAAAAAATCGCTTGCCCCAAGTGCCCCAGACATTCAGACCGCAACTTCCAGTACTGGTAAGCCAAATCTCTGCTTCCAACCGAGAAAGGAATCTATCCAGCACCTTTTCCATTGCCGCAAGATCAACACGCCAGGATCCATCTAGCACATTCGCCGCGTGATGAACACGCCGGGATCCATCTGGCGAACACGGCAAGATCCATCCAGAACCTTTGCAGCGTGGTGAACACGCAAAACCCTCTCTAGAATTCTCCAATTGTACATCTGTCCGTTTCCTATTCTTCTAATAAATCTGCCCCGAACGGGGCACCCCGTAGGCAGATATCCGGCACAAAGGGGCAGCGGTTGACGTCCAACTGCCCCGGCACCAGCCCGGTGCTGCTGGGCTTGAAGCTGTCGCTGAGCAGCCTCCGGTGGACGTATAGGACCTCCAGCACGTCGGGTATGTCACAGCCAGCCACATCTACCACATCTCCATAGCTGTTGCCATGCGCATGCATCATCACGAATTGCTCATTCAACTTCTCCAGGGCCATGGCCTTCACCTGGGCGTCGCCGCAGCGAGGCCGGCCCAACCAGTGCAGCTGGACCCAAATCTGGTCGAAGCGGCCCAGCACCGCGGAGTCGGTCGCCAGGATGGCGCGGAACTCGGCGCCCGCCACGTCGCATTTCAGCGCCAGAGGCCCAGCATCCCCACCACCCACCAGTTGCACGGCCGCTGTCAGCGTAGAGCCCCCGCCCGGAAGCTCCTCAGCACACAGCGCCTCCTGGTGGAAGCTGAAATTGGGATGCTGGCGAGGAAGGCTGTCCAATCTGTGGTCGAAGAGGTGCACTCGTGTGCCTGCAATCGCCAGCTCCCACTCGAAGTCGATGTTGCTGCCCACTCCGTAGCTGAGAAGATGCTTGAGGCGTTGCCCTGTGTCCAACATCACGTAGCCGTGCGAGCGGGGCCCCACCTGCACCAGCTGCAACTCCTCGGAGCTCAGCTCGTAGAGGCGCAAGGCCGCCACCAGGCGACGCGCCCAGGCTGCAGCCCCGACGGACAGATCTGGCTGCAGCACCGTGACCTCCGCGGAGATGGCGCTGTGCTGCCCCGCCAGCTCCCGCACGAAGTCCATCTCGATCCGGCGCAGGAACTTGGCCACGGCGTCCAGGCACAGATGCGGCAGCCCGAAAAAGGAGCGGAGCTGGGCCCAGGCCTTCACACGGGCCTGGCTGCCGGGCGGCCGCAGAGCTGCGAATTCCCACTGAGCCTGGCTTACACAGCGCAAGGCCGACTTCACCTGAGCTCTATCCTTGGCTGTCCGTTTTCTGATCCCCTGCTAAAAGCTTAACTTGCGCGTTGAATGGAAACCCAACCACTACACTACTTAAAAAAAGAAGCAAACACGCAAAGGAACCGGATGGCTGGGTGCCACCAAGTATCCACCTTGCTGCGCGTGCTCGCCAGCTTTGCGACGTAGGAGGTGGCCTGTGTCAGTGCCGCCCAAACTTGCTGCTCCCGCCGCCGTCGCTCCTGCCGATCCCGGGATGTCACCACAGTACCGCAGGCGCACTGCACCACCTCATCGTCAACGGGATTTTTGCACCCGGGACAAACCCAACTGTTTATGAGCCGACAGTCGCTGGTGGCAAAGTTCGAGGCGCACCGCGGGCAGAGGCATTTCACCCCATGAAGCTCCAGCAATCGATGTCGCCTGGAAAGCACATCATCCACTTCATCGAAATACGAGATGAAGATCTCCTCGCCCGGCTCAATTGCCCTTGTACAAATCAAAGAGCCCTGACTGCTGCGATAGGTCAGCTTGGCATTGGGGCAGCAGGAATGGTTGAGCAGCGCGAAGCAGAGCGGCACGATGGTTGCAGGGCCCACCCCGGCGCCGATGCGCTTCAGGTCCAGGTCAATAAACTCCGCCTCGCTGATTGAAAAGTCGGAGGTTGCCAGGGAGATTATCTCCTGGGCGTGGCGCAGGCGCCGCTCCAGCGCCAGTTTGGTGGCGGGCAGCGAGCGCCAGGCCTGGGGCCCCTTGGGGCACACGCGCAACCAGCTCTGCAGCAGCTCTTCCAGCTGGGAATGTCTCTGCAGCATGGCCAACATCAAGGTGATGGCACTCTGCTTTGCCTCAACGTCTGGCAGGTCCTGCGGAAACATCTCCAGCGCGTTGAAGCTCAGTTTGTGCTTCCAGCCCCTTTTGCCAAAGGCCGCCCAGATCAAGGCATGCTCCACGGCGATGCTCGAGCCGGGAGCGAAGGACTTGCGCGCGAAGATGCCGTAGCCATGCATGCTGCTCTCCATGATGGCCAGCTGCGGGGGCAGGATGGCCTCAAGCCTCGCAATGTGGGTCTCCATGTCCGTATCTTCCACCGGCGCTTTCCTGCGATGCTGCGGCCACCTGCATTGCCGCTGACCCGGCGATGCACGCCAAGGCCCACCGGGGCGCGACATTGCGGCGCTCTGCCAAAAGCCGGGGCTCGCGACGCCGCTAGCCCGCCCCCTCGCCCGCCCAAGAAACACTTGAGCTTACGTGTCGAAACGGCGCGATCCACAAACTATGTGGCCTATTGGAAGACATGAGAGCTTGTCTTGATACGTCTGTATGGACGATTTCGCCCGTATAACATGGTAGAATTACTCAACTTGTGGTGGATAAGCCTCCATACCTCCAAAAACCCATACCCGAGAGTTGGGTATGTGTAGAAAAAGGGGGACTAATTCTCCACCCCCCCCCCTTCCGTTCGCCCCGCCTTGGACGTCGTCCTGAGCACGTCGAATGTAGGGTGATACGTATTGCCAAGCGTGCACCAAACGGAAGGTCGTTGAAAGACAGGGAACCTCCCGAGTCAATTTCCAACAACCCGCGTCGATCAACAGCTTCCACGGGTTTGGGGATCCGGTCAGGGGTAAGGTAGACTTTGCCTGGGTTTTTCAGGGGGTCCTCACCTCTAACATTTAACAAAACGCCACGACACGGTGGCGGTTTTGACAAAAAACAAACACGAAGATCCCTGGCGTCCAAAAGCTTTCTGCCAGCTTCCATGATGGTTTGAAAGAGATATTTATTATTTGATGCTTTATTCTTTCGATGGCGAAACACAGACGATCCACCCCGAACAAACCAATTTGTGTACATTCATGCCAAAGCTTAGTGCTTCAATTTTTGTTCGGACCCTAGAAGAAAGCTGTTCAGTTTCCTTTCGGCGTCCTGGCATCCCAAGAAAAAAAAGGGACCCTCCAGCAGCTAATCCCCAGTTGCTCCAGTCCGATATGACTGTGGTTGGTTTTTTGGACAACCCCCCACCCCCGAAATGTGTGGTTTCCTTTTTCCAAGGGAAAACACCCACCCACCCACCCACCCACACCCACACCCACACCCACACCCACACCCACACCCACACCCACACCCACACCCACACCCACACCCACACCCACACCCACACCCACACCCACACCCACACCCACACCCACACCCACACCCACACCCACACCCACACCCACCCACACCCACACACACACACACACACACGCCCCCAAAACAAAGAAGAAAGAACTCGTTTTCCTTTTACCCACAAGGGAAAACACACCCAAATATCCCCATATGACTGCGTCAGTTTTTTGGATTTGGACCCCAAATCCAACAAAAAGAAGGTGCTTGCCCTTTTGGCGTCACCAACAAACACATCCAGCACCGGATGCGCTCCAACCCGGCACGTGGCAGCCAAGGCCCCCCACGACTCTGTGGCTTTCGGCGCCTGGGAGCGAAAACCCGCCGGCCTTTTTTCACACATGGCCCGTCTTCGTTCTTGGGGCTCCCCTTCTTTTTCAGGGAAACCAAAAGGACACGTCTTCCATTTTGGGGAACCCCTGCAAACACAAAAAACACACACACCCATACCCCACACCCTGTCAGTCCCTTTCTGGGCTTGAAACAAATGCGACGGCCATCCTATTTCTGGGCAACATTACTCCCTTACTACCCGAATGGATTGAAGGAATTTGACATCCCCCCCTTTCTTTGCCTACCTCAAATGAACCACAAACTCCCAGTGACTTCTGCCTAGACTCTCCATGACCCTTGAAAAATGGGGTCATTGCCTTGAATTAAGGGGTCATGACCCCTGTTTTCTAGGGGTCATGCAGACTCTAGGTGGTCCGTTGCTCAAATGCATCTGTGCAAATCACTAGAGTCTAGAAATAAGACACCCACCAGTCTCTATGACCCCTTTAGCATAGGTTGATGTACTCATGGTTTTTGTGGCCAATGGCCCCATTTCTAAAGACCTCAAGCTGAAGTAGGCTCTGAATGCCTCGCTCGCTCCCGAGATCCGCTCACCCCGTTTCTCAGAAGGCGGGCGAAGGAACCGTGAAGTCGCACACCTTGACTCTGAGCGCTGGCTTGACAAACAGCTCCCTCTCGACGTTCTCATCTTCTAGCGTCCGTCGCTGAGCTCAAGGAGTTTCAGTCCGGACTGGTGCGGAGCGACCTGGGTGGAGAAATTCGTAGCCGTTAGCGGTCCTCCCGGCGCAGGTCTTCTCACTGGTTCATCGCCCTTGGCACAAGGTTTAGGCATGTCCTAATAAATCTGCCCGCGATTTCTGCCAGGGAAAACGACTGTAATGTGCCAACTTTTACAGTAGGAAAGACCCGCGGCAGGTTGTATTGGAATCCGAAAAGGGAGGCCTCTCCAAAAGGATCTGGTTTGTTTGGGGTTCCTTCAATGAAACCCATCCCCAAACCAAAAGCAGCGCAAAAAGCCGGGTCTTTTTGGGGTGTCTTTTTGGAGGGTTCCCCCCGGTTCAAGTGGGTAAGGGCAAGACCACCAGCCGTTGCGGCGCTCCAAACCTAAGGCCCAAGCCTCTGGAGCCTTCGCCGGTGCCTGGCACGATGAAAACTGACATTTCAGGACCTACCTTTCACCTCACCCCGTGGTATCGGTTTCAACAAAATAGGTCTACCCAAGCCTCCATTTCGCCTCACCCCTAAGTGGTATTACCTTTCAAAGCAAAATAATTGACCTTGAAATATGAAAGCATATAGCCATATAGCTTTGTTGGAAGATATGTTGATGGATGAGAAGGGAGTCAACCCGGGAAGCACACATTCACTCACTCCCTCTTTGGCACCTGACAGGGACCCGGGTTCTTTCAAGAGGAAAATTGATCTCTCAGGTGCCTCCCCACAAATGCCATCTTGGTAGGAGAAAGGGTACCCACCGTGAATGGTTGCGCAATCCAAACTGTTTTTTTCACACCACGAAATGAGTCACCATGGGAATGAAACCATACCGCTTGTTGGCATTTACCCTGGGGAATCGAATCATTCCACAGTGGGTGCGTCTAAAATCACATGCGCGGACACCCCAATTTGTGGCTGATTCCCTTTGGCTTCCTTTCAAGCCAATCTAAAAATGACACCTGAGCCCTCAAGATTCCAACTTCAAAAAAACTCTGGCCCCAAAATTCTGGTTGTTGGAGCCCAACGACGTGTTTCCAAACACAACTTTAAATGATTCGCATCAAAAGCCACAGCTCCAGCGCATCGCATCTTAAACTTTAAGCCCAAGGTGAACCAAAGCGAAGTGGAAGCAGCCCTAAACGAAACCTGTAAGGGCCCGGGCCAAGAGCTGACACAAATGCCTCTGAAAAACTTAAGAGTTGGAACCCCCTCCAAAGTGGTGGACATGGAATTATCCGAGAGATGATGTCCACCATTTCCGGTTAATAAAAAATCAGACCCAGATCTCCGCGCTATAACTCTTCGTATTGGCATTCCTCTTACGGCCCCCGCAAGGTTCCGATCGCTCCCACAAACAAAGCCAAGCCAAACCGCTCTGTATCATCCTTCTGGCCATATGAAAATGCGCCAGGCAGGCTTAGCGGGGTGAGGTGATGTGTCATTTGCATCTTTTGGTGAAAGGCAGTGGCCATGCCCGGTGAAGGACTTTTATGTTTTTAGTCACTTGTCAAATGAAGATCTTACACTGAAAATCAGTCGATGGTTGCTGTGCCGGGGAAGGGCTTCCAACATGAAAACTGCTAGCCGTTGGCCCAAGCCTCTCAGGGAAAAAAATCTGAGGATCCAAGTGTCTTGTAGGAAGGAACCATGGGACCAAAGGGCCTAAGTACCTTAGAACCTACACGGATTTTGACGGGGTGCTCTTTGGTTGGACCAAAGGATCTAAAACGAAACCCCACGATGGGGGGGGGGGTCTCCCTATCTTAGCAATTTTGCCACGTAGCCAAAACAGACCCTTGGCCCCTTCGGCTTTTTTTAAGCTCTGACCTTCACAAGGCCATGGGTCAAAATCCAAATCGTACCCCCAGTGAGCATCCCAATCCCACTAAAATAAATTCTAAAATGGGTGGTGCACCGAAAACCCCAAAATGGTACCATTGGTTTTGACCCACAGCCCCAAGTTCACGCCCAAACAGCCTCAGGCTCCGCAGGAGGCGCTTCCGCCGAAGGCGCAGGCGCCGCGGCCGCCGTAGGAGGCGGAGGTACCGCGGCGGGCGCCGGCGCCGCCTGAAAAAAGAAGATGCGCCGTGGATTGAGCCATTTGGGGCGCCATGTGCTTGATTGCTGTTGACCCCCCTGCAAAAAGTTCATTTTTTTTTTTTGGGGGGGGGGGTTAGTGGAAAACATGTTTTTTTCCCAAAAAAAGTTAAGGTCTAAAGATCCGAACCCAATAGCAGTCAAGTATGTGCCGCTCAATAATTGCTAGGCTGTTTTCTGTGATGCCATGACTCCTTGATCATTTAAAGGGGGTTCCCGAGGCTACGGCAAATGGATCGACAGCTTCTCCATGTTTGCGTGTTCTTACGCATAATCAGATATCCCTGCGCAAACAAAACAACACGTGTGGATGATTCACCCATTCGCTCTTCCCAAAAAGGGGTTCAACGGAACTCGATTGCTAGTGGGCCAGTGGTCTAAGTCCCTCTTAGGGTTCACCAATCCAATGGCAAGGTTTTGTTGAGTGGTGGAAACAGACCTCGCATCTGATCTGCCCGGGAAAAAAAAGGTGCTGCGTGACAATGACAATCACTCTGCTTAAAGTGCTTGATGACATGGCATCTGGGAACAGTCAAATTTGTTTTGTCGGTGCGACAGGTAGGGAATGACGGTTCCGGGTGTTGGTGGAATGAACCAGAAGAGAATCCCGGATTAAAGGAAACCAGCAGCTGGATGGTTTATCTCGGGATCATTCCATTTCCCATTCCCCTGCTTATTCCCATCCCTCATCACCCGACTGGAAGGAAACTCACTTTGATTGGCTCAAAAGGTGAAGTCTAAAGTCACCAAAACGAAAACATCTAGAGAGCCCTGAGCCTGTGTGAATCTCCTGTGAACCTTTTCCAAGTACCGTCCCAGCCAAGGGGTCGCACGGGACAAGTCTTACGTATGCTTGCCCCAGCGAAAAGGGACTTGTTAGAACCAAGAAAGGCCGAGGCAGACCTCAGACATCCTCAGACCAACCCCCTTCAAAACAAAGGAGCTTCTTGCGGTGGGGAAGGGGTGGTTGGGGAGGGTGGGGGGAGGTGGGGGTGGGGGGTAGGGGCGGGGGGTGGGGAAGGGGTGGGGGAAGGTGGGTTCCCTAAAAGATTTCCCTTGAAACAAGCCCACAAGGGGCACCCTCAACAAGTTACGTACTCGCTGAGAAGGAAATCAGATTGCCAAAAGCTGATTCGAGGTGATTGCGATAACGAAGAACAAGCGAGCCAAAGGCTGCCTTTCAACGACAACCGTTTATGGGTATATGTGTTTTGAGTTGGTACCCTTCTTTGGGTTGTTTTAAAGGGAAGCGAAAGGAAACCGGCCCTATTTTAGGGCCCCCGAGTTTCAGTAGTTGATGTGAAGCGCTATGCACTTGAGAGATGTACATCTTATGGGGCTTCTCATTGGAGACCCCAAATGCTTTTCATATCGTGACTTCCCATGGTGTGAATCGACACAAATTGCATGGCTTGCCGAAGGGGGTCCGACATCCCAAAAAAAGAAACCTGAGGGCAGCCCCTTTTGGGTGAATCTCACTTCCTGAGATGGCCCAACAAAAAGTAACCAAACCTTGCATGTACCACTAAAATGGTCCAAACCATTCCAAACATCCAAGAACCCGGAAAATCATGTTTTTAACTCCAACTTCCAGCACTTTTTTGGTTCGCCGGGCCCATGTCGTCCGGGACCACCGAAAGCACACCGCCTCAGGCTCTGCCGGATCCGCAGGCACCGCCTTCCAAGGTGTTCCACTTGTGGGTCAGAACTCACCCCAGAGGGAACAAATGAGAACATAACTTCCGGTAGTGAAATCGATTCCCAGAAGAAAACCGACAGAAGACAATTGCAACATATTTTCTGTTTCAGCAAATGGAAGCCAGTGAATTCCCACAGTTTGTCGCCATGATAAGGTCAACTCAACGAACATCTGGGAATTCAATGTCACGGGTTCATACTGAAGGGGTCCATACCCGAGGTAGGCGCCCAAATCAGGGCTTCATTGAATAGCAGGGGGTCGGTTGCGACCAGTGACCAAATCGATCGGCGGATATGAGAAATACGTCTAGGGAGCAATCAAACTGAAAGGGTCGAATACACTGAAAGACTGGATTGAAGCTGCTCCCACATCCCGTGAAATCAAACACAAGGTCAAACTTGCATCGCCTTGTCAAGGCTCCAGAACCGATCATGCACTGAAACAGAGATGGATAGCAGACCTCCTGAGGATCAGCCCATAGCGAGGCTGAAGGAACTGTCGCACCTGCAAAAACGCTGGAGATGTGACATTCTGCATGCGAGGACTTTGTGATCAGTAAGGACAACTGCAATTTGTTTGGGGTCCCTATTTCGACACAATGCCATTTCAAAGACCAAACCATCTCCCACTCGACATCAGCTGCCAGTGACACCCCTTGAAAAGAGCTTGAAAAAGCTACCCTCAACAAATACCAACCATCCGGTGGATGGTAGTGAGAAAACTTCATAAAGCAGATCATCTCCTTCACCCCTGATCAGTACGTTCCTCAGGAGGAAACTGATCCGCCCTGTGCACAAGTCTCTGAGCACGCCTGGTTCCTTTCGGAAACATCTTTCCAACCATTCCATGCAAAAGTGGGTCAAGGGATACTTGCCCATATTTGCCTTTTGAAGAAATATTGGCGTTTCTCAAACTTGGAGGGACCCCTTTTCAGATGGTGTTATGGGAAGACTAAAAGGAAATCAACCTGAACGAGTTGCTAATGTTGAGACTGGGAAAAGGTGCCTTTTTCCTCGTGACTTTTTTTGTTGGACTAGGTGTCCACCTAGACCCTCAAACTGACCCAACATAGTGGGATAATATCCGTTTTGTTGGGGATAGTTTGAGTCAATTTCCCAAAGATCAAAGCGAGCAATAGGCTTGGCATGGCAGAAGCCAGCTTTCGAAAGTGACCAATGTCGGTCGATCTTAAGCTTTGGTTTCCAAGTCGTGTCCCTTTGGCTTCCCTGAGCGAGGCACTGCGGCCTCGGTATCCGGAGCCTCCGTGGCCTGCAGCACCTCCGCCTATCGACCGAACAGGGGTCACCTGATCCACCGAAGTGGCCTTACGGTTGTTGGGTGGTTGGTTTTGTGGTTGGTTGGTTGGTTGGTTGGTTGGTTGGTTGGTTGGTTGGTTGGTTGGTTGGTTGGTTGGTTGGTTGGTTGGTTGGTTGGTTGGTTGGTTGGTTGGTTGGTTGGTTGGTTGGTTGGTTGGTTGGTTGGTTGGTTGGTTGGTTGGTTGGTTGGGCGGGCGGGCGGGCGGGCGGGTGGGTGGGTGGTTTGGTGCATGGGGTGGTTGGTTTGGTTGGTGGGTGGTGTTGCGTGGGTGGGTGGGCTTTGGTTCTAGAAGAGCTCCTGCGTTGGACAAGTCTCTCTTCAAACATCTGCCGCCAGGTAGCAGTGGACAGGCCAAAAGGACAGCGGTCTTCCCACACTTCCGGTCAGGGTGGTATATCAGAAAGTACTTATAGCACACCAGTTGATGGTGTATCAAGCAGTATAGGTCACATATCTCAACTGCAGGATTATGTCCATTCATTCACCCCCCCCCTCAACATCTGGACCTGAAATTTGAGATATATTTTTTGGGGGTGAGAGGGGCATTTCTGGGTCTTCGCCATGCGATCAAAGAAAAGGGCCCTGAATCGAAGAGCTCCGGTGACAGGTACCAAACTTGGTTAAAATCTGTTCGGCCAAAGTGCAATTTGGGTCTGTGTCAAACGGAGATGCCCCAAAATGGATCCCAGATGATTTCCTTCTACCTGGAGTCTCCATGAGCCTTAAAAGATAGGTGCAGCCGCATGATCCAAGAGTAGGGGTCATGGCCCCTAGTTTCAAGGGTCATGGCCCCACTCTAGGTACACCAACAAAAGGCGACTCTCCATGACTCAAGACAACTGGGCTGCCCTCAGATCCCTTGCTACATCTGAATAACTTTTGGTCCAACTGAACCCTAAGCTAAGGAACCGGATGGCAAAGAGCCGCCAAGTAAGTTAATTAAAAGACACCCCGGCGACCCTCCCAGGCCCCAAAGCCCAAGGCATTCGAGTCCAAGACCCGTCGAACAAAGCCCACCCTCTGCCATGCGGTTTTTCGGTCCTTGGAAAAAAACCATCCGAACATATGTCCAAGAGTGATAGTAGATTCCCTTTAAAAGCAGGTTGGAAAATAAGACGTATTCATTTCAGCAAAAAGGCAGGTCATTCGAGCAATATGTGCGGGCGAAGCTGAGCAACCCTAAGCTGGCTGGTTCGATCAGGGAATGAGTGCGCATGACCCCGAGAAAAACCATCCTTTACTGGTGGTTTCCTTTGAGGGAATCCGCCCAAAAACTCGGAAGGTCATTCCCTGAGCACCAGCAAGTAAAGTAGGTGCCGTTCATGCTACTTCCTGGCTGCATGTCGTGACGTGGCCGTTTGGCATGACTCGTGATAGCCAGAAAACGGCAAGTGCCATTTGATCAAATGAGTTACAGCCTCTGGTTTATAGAAGGAAATCCCAACCCACCAACAGAAAAAGAGAACCCCGAAGAATCTGCATGGTGCCCAAGCTCGATGAATGCCCGGATCGATGAGTTTGTGACAATATGTGCAGAGAAGGGCAAGTTTACATGCGCCTCTAGTCTTGGGACATGTGACCCGAATGTGAACCGGGCGATACACAAATGCTGCCAGCAGCACTTCAACTCGGTTGCTTTCAGATTCTGCTCCCCGGCTAAAGTTGTATTTTTAGTGGTTGAATTCGGAAAACCCATTCGTTGGCAAAAAGTTAAAGTCCCTACATCCCTTGGCAAAATGCGCCAAAGTCAATGCTGGGACCCCCCGCCGGCGCTTCTGCCGGCGCCGACTCCGGCGCCGCCAGGGCCTCCGTTGGCTCTTCCGCCATCGGCTCCGCCGGCGCTTCCGCCGCGGCCGGGAGCGTTGGCTCAGCTTCCGGCGGCGCGGCGGCTTCGGCTTCCGCCGGCACCGCCAACGGCTCGGTGGAAGGCTGCGCAGGCTCCGCAGGCGCCAACGGCTCCGCAGGCTCCGCAGGCTTAGGCACCTTGCACAGGTGGGGCTGGCTCAGAATGGTTTCCCTTAGGCTTGATACAACTTCGCTCCTGCCCGCACTGTTTTTCCTCAGCTTAGAGCCATGAGGTCTCTGTCCAAATACGCTCCGCAGCTCCGAGGGCTGGAAGGTTCCAGGGTGTGCAATTGAGCAGTTGCTGGATTCCAAAACCAGGCAAGGCTTCCCAGATCTGGGCAAGGTTTCGCGATTGTTGTTGGGCATATCACCTGGGCTTCGGGTAAATGGTCTGTGTCACGCAGCGTTCTTTGATGGAACGTGCGCTCCCAGCACTTTACGCCGCTTTGTGGCCCTTCAACCCACCCTTGAGCTAAACCGTGCCTGCAACACTATGTATATGCATCAATTCATGAGTGGATTAGGCAAAAGAAGTCCAAACTTGTTAATGTTAACCCCAGATCAATAAACCCTGGTTGATTAATAGGGGGGTGTCCCCTTTTAGTGGGGATTCAGACCACTTTTGGAGGCAACACCCCCCTAATTGTGCGACGGGTTTATTAATCCTGGGTCAACATTATTTACCACTAAAGTGGTCTGGTCTTCCCAACAATAAAGTCCAGGAACTCAGGAAGGCAAATGCTGGGCCAAACTCTGAGTTGTGCCCAACAAGGCCGGCGCCGGTTCAGACAACGATCTATGTGTTGGCGGTGGGTGCAACCCAAGTTTAGGCGTTTCTGGAAGCTTCTTTACAAGCCACTCCACAGCCAAGAGGGCCTCCGGAGAACAGAAGTGCTCACTGAAAAAGAAGTGGGAGGATTGCATCGACCCCTCCTTTTTGGGGCAAAGTGATCCTGGAAGTCTTCCTTCACAAGCAACAAGTACAGCAGAATGCTCTCAAGTTGAGCTTCCATTTGCTTGTGGCACCGAGAACACACACCTATGCTTTCTGTTTTCTGTTTGAAACCACTGGAAAACCTAAAATAACGCCCAATTCAGCCAATGGCAGCCCTCGGTTCAAGGGCTCCAAAGGAGAAACGCCACCCCTTGCTCGAAGAAAAGAAAACACAGTCTGGCTTTTTTCAGGGTACCCCTTGTTTTTGCTTTCGGTTGGTCTCAAAGGGAAACCAAAAAGGAAACCAACCATTTTGGGGGGTCCCCTAAAACAAGAGTTGCAAAGCCTTTTTACTTTCCCTCTAAGTCATCGTCTACACGTACGAGAAACACACGTTCAAGTTGTTTGCTTTCCTAAGGCGTATGTAAGCTAACCAAACGGCACCACACAAGCACGCGATAACTCTTTTATCCGAGCAATGTGTTGGTGCCAGGGACTCATCTTCCCCTGTCAGATGTCAACGGCTGGGTGGGCCCCATGGGCCACCCGCCGCAAACTCTCAAAAACTGAAGAACGGGTGTGCAGACTGATAGCGCCCGCCCCTGAGCCGGGGGGGGGTCTGCCACAAGGGGAAGTGAGTCACCCACCGGCTCCGGTCAAAGGAGCATGGGTGGGCCCACGCTAAGATCAAATGCATCTCCATTCAGGCGCGGGAGAAAAACGAACTCCTCGCAGAGTTCCTGTTTGGGGACCCTGTGCAAAGGGTCGAACCCAGAGAAATCTGGGTGCGTCAGCTCATCAGCCCACTGGTTGAATTCCCGGGGCACGTGGTTGGCTGCCAGCGAGCAGCCATATGGGTGTGGAGCAGGAAGACCAGCTCCATCAGGATCGCCGCGGTGTAGGGCTTCTTGGATCCAAGGTTGAGCATCGCCATGACGTTGCCCTGATTGTCACTGCCCACCGGGAGTCGGACCCGGGGGGACAGAGGGCCTTGGTGCGTGAGGATCATGTTACAGAGGAAGAGCGTGCCCAGCATCTCCAAAGCCGCAATCCTCCGCTTGGGATCCCCCCAAGGGTACTCCTCCACGTGGATCTGCTCGTGGAACCAGTACATCCTTCTTTCCCGGCTCCATTTTGTTGGAGCACCATCCTCCCACAAATGCCAGTCCTTCGTCCGAGGCGCTAGCATCGCTACAACCCCACCAAGAGGACTTCGGCAAGTAAGGGGCTGCCTCCACCTTGGTGAAGGGGCCCTCTACCATGCCCATGGGGACCTCTTCCAGGAATGTGCCACAGATGAGCTCACTGAAGTTATCCGCCGAGGGGTAGTTACCCCGGCCCATGAGAGTTCCCGGCTCCTCCCCTTTTAGCTCCTTCTTGAGTGGCCAGATGCCCGGCGAGGCCAGGGGTGGGTCCGTGCCCCTCAGTGGGACCCCTTGTTCCAGATCTCGAGGAGGCCACGCTGTGCAGTTGGCCCAACGAGAGCGACTCCTGGAGCTTGTCCCCCCATGGCGAAGTGAGGACACAGATCTTGGCCCCCATCGCTGCTGCTACAGTACGGGGCCAGCCGTCCCAGTGAGGGCTTCCCACCCGTCCCTTAGGGGGCGCTGTTTGAAGGCCATCTGGAGGTACATGACCTTGTCGGAGAGATTTGGGTCGTGCGTGATCGGCAGGGTGGTGGGCAATGGCGTGCCCATGGCTCAGGGGAAAGAGTTCCACCCCGAAGTTCGACCGGAAGTGAGCCCAAAGTTAGTCCCGCCAACGCTTGTTGGCCGGCCTTCAGCCTCCGGGACTGGCGCTTGTTGTCCCCCGGCGTGCTGGGAGAAGGTTCCCTCTGTCGCCTCGGGGGGGTCGTTGGGTTCGCCTGGGGCACCATGCCCCCCGGCCTCAGCGCCTCCAGGACGGGTCCCGCTCTGCAAAGGATGGCCGCTGCGAGACCCTGCATCATCTGCTCTGGATACCGGCTGAGGTCACTGGAGTTGAGCTTTTCCCCCCTGGGGTGAGCTCCGTGGTTGCATCGCAGATCATGCCAATGGTGAAGGGGAAGGTCCGTTGACAATGTCGTGGACCACTACCACCTGGAGTGCGTTCGCCCATTGAATGTAGGCCCGTGTGACCCAGAAGGAGGAGCCCACCTGCGGGACCGTTAGTTGGCCTAGCCCCTGGTAGGCCAGCGAGGTCAGGTACATCTGTCGGAGCATGAGCACGCTGTCGTTGTCCGTGTCCTCCATTACCCGAGGCTCCGGTCTGCTCCGCTCTGCCCCTCACCGGTGGTGGGCCACCCGGTTTGGGGAACCATCTGAGAATGCTCCACGTCCTGCAGTTGGGGCCGCCCCCCACAAAGGCGACCTTGCCCGCCATGGCCATGGAGCACATAGTAGAGTAAGGCTCATCTCCCAGCATGTCCTGTCCAAGATCTCCACCCTTTCGCCTGATGTCCACTGCCCAAATGTACTCCGAGAAGGCCGGGTTGTAGGCATGGAGGTAAGCATCCACCGCATCATCCTTCCCAGCGTGCAGCAGGATGAGCGGACGTGGCGTCCACCTTAGTCTGAGCCTCAGTCTTTCACGGGGTGTCCTGCATCCATGGGAAGGTGGGGCTTGCCCCCCCTAGGGATTCCGTCCTTTGTCTGACCCTCCGGTCATCTGTCCCTGGGCTTGCTGCTTGCCCTGGCGGTTCTGCCCGCCCTTGGTACGCCCCTTGCCGGGCGGATCCTCATCTCTGGGACTCTCTGTGGGTTCTTCCCACTGCCTTGGTGGGTGCGGGGGAAATGGCTGGGTCCGCTCCTCTTCTTCGGTGGAGGGGCTTCCGGGGCCGGTGGCACCCTGGAGAAATCCCCTCCCACCGGCCGTCCTGGCCTCCCCCGCTCTGTCTGCCTTCCGCTGTGGCTCTGGTGGGGTTGGCTCTCCCCCGCTGTGTGCACTCTCGCACTGGTGGCGTGTGATCCCATTGGAGACCAGGAAGCCACGGGGCCCTATGGCACCCTGAGTGGCCTCCTGTCACTTGGGAAGGTGTGGGCATGCCTGTGGCACATGCTTCGATGGGGGGGCATCACACACCCACCCATCCTTCCTGACCGGGCAGTTGTGGGATCGGCCACATGATCCCGATGGATGGATGGCCCAGGGGATTTCCTTGCCCACCAGGATGGTTCTGCAACTTTGCCACTCCGCTGGGACCTCCTCCGGTGGTTTGGCGGGCGCGGCCGCCATGACCTCCTACCTCGGTGTGGGTGGGTGGGTTTTCACACAAATTGGGTTCTAGGAACCCAGGGCAAAGCTTGAGCAAAAATGGCACATGCCATTATGGTCAAGCATTTCAAACACAGTTCATGTTTCCACATGCGTTTCAACATTAACAAAGTGTATGTAAGCTAACCAAACGGCACCACACAAGCACGCGATAACTCTTTTATCCGAGCAATGTGTTGGTGCCAGGGACTCATCTTCCCCGGTGGGCCCCATGGGCCACCCACCGCAAACTCTCAAAAACTGAAGAACGGGTGTGCAGACTGATAGCGCCATTTCTGAAGGACAGTCTGGCACACCCGCCATTTCCGAAGGATGCCAGTCTGTGCTGAGGGCCCCAGCCAGGGCCCTGTCCTGGGCCTCCCTTTCCCCGTCGCCAGGGCCGGGGGCACCTAGGCCAAAGGTAGGGCCACCACCTCGGTCTCCGACTGGGTGTCTACAGAGAGATCCCGAGTCCGCCGAGGAGTCCGAGTCCTCCTGCAGTGTGGGGACCTCCGCAGGCTCCAGTACCCAGTCTGCCGGGAAGCCATACCTCTTGAAGCAACGCTCGCACTTGCCATAGGCCTCCGGCTCCGTCATGTAATCCAGCACAGAGAGCTCCTGGATCTTAGAAGCCGCCGGTCGCCATCCGCACCCCACAGCCGTGCCTTCGTCATTCAGCAGGTGGATTCTGGACTGGCCGGCGTTGCCTGTGCGTTTGACCGCCGCCACCACACGAAGGGTGGCGGGGAACAGGTCCTTGGCCTTCACTGGTGTGTCCTCGGGTCCATGTTCCACCAATGACCATGAGCGAGTCGATGGCGCGCTCCCTGAGGGTACCGTGGGGGATGTCTCCCCTTCCCTTTCGGTTTGGCCCCTGCGACCGTCCGGTCCTGCGTCCGTGATGTCCACTGCTGGTGGCGGGAGCGGGTCCGCCCAGTCCGGGTGGTTCAAGTCCTCCCTGCGTTCCCTGCCTGGCCCGAGGTTCAGGTTGGGGACCTTCTGCGCTACCTGGCCCCAAATCTCCACAACAACGTTGCGCTTCTCCCGCACGTAGACGTCTGCTGTGCTCCGTGAGCCAGTTGCCTAGGTACATGCGGCGCTCCCGGGGGATCCCCATCTGGAAAGCGCAGTCCGGGATGAACACTCGGAATGAGTGCCACGTCAGCGGCTTCACCAACTTCGGGGTAACTCCCCGACGGAGAATAGCATCCTTGAGCCATCTCAAGGTCTCGGGATCAGCCCTGCAAAGTCTTTGCTCACTGTCGGGAGCAAGTAGTCCATGTCCTCCTCGGATACCAGTCGCCTGACCGAGGCCACCCAGGTAGTCCACCAGGGGATCCCCGTGAAGCTGTACTTCGGAGCAATCAAAAAAACCGGGTTGCGGTTGATTTGTGCTGCTGAGACCGTCTTGGTCTGCCAGGCCTTCAGCTCCACAGTGTTGCTGGTGTGAATAAGGTCCTTGGGGTGAACATGCTGGAGGTCATTGAAACGAGCGCTGCACCCAACCTGGAACCGGGCGAAACCCAGGATGAAAGCGTCCAGCACCTCGTGTCTGCTCCTCCCTGGGGCCGCCTGCGAACCGGGGCCGGTGGCACCCAGGTGATCGTAGCCGGCCCCCTCCTCCAGAGCCCATATGACCTCTTTGCTGGGGACCACCGCCTTGCGCTGTGGCCTGGTGACCGTGTCCGTGAGCGCCTCTTCCAATGAGCTCTTCTTGGACTTGAGGCGATGGAGCTCGTCTATCTTCAGCAACCCGAAGGTCTTGGAAAACCAGGGTGTTCCACACCTGCCGTAACTTGCACGGGGTGACCTCCTCTTCGGCGAGCTGGTTAAGGAGAGAGCGGACATGTCGTTCCTGCCATGGAATCACTGTGAAGCCTCTCTTCCGAGACTCTCGTAGACCAGGCAATGTTGCCTGAGTGTCCGGAACCTACTGTCCCCCAAGAGGTCCAATGCCTCCTTGCGGAAGTCCTCCCCCAGGATGTCCTGCATGTGTGCGATGTGCTCCGCAAAAGGGGCGAAGTGGGCAAGGAGCCGTTCCGCCCACTTCCCGCGCATATGGAGTTCCAGCGCTCGCTGGGTCGTGGGCTCCATTTCCCTGATTTTTCCCGGCCGCCAGTGCCTCCACTTCAGCAGCTCCGGTTGTTGGAGTGGGGGTGGGTCATCTCGTGAGAACCACCTCAGTTGGTCCTGGCGGTCCCATTCATTCTCCAGCGGGGAAAAGTTCTCGCTCAGCTTGCCATCCGCAGTCGCCATGAGGAGGAACCATAGGCTATCCCATAGGTCGGCCAGGTCCGCCGCGGACAGAGGCTGGGGAAGCCTGCCCGCCGCGTTGAAGTAGTCCGTCGGGACCACTTGGTCGTCTTGCCCTACCGGAATGCCCGAGAGTTCCAGGAGCTGGGCGAAGCGGACTGCCAATGTGTCCCATAGGACCCTTGGAATGCGGTCCCAAAGACGTGTGTAAGGCGGGCGCAAAAGAAACTTGGTAGAAACCCTAGCCATGAGGAAAAAGGGGGGGTTCGAGCCTCCTATCGAACCTGCCTGGACCCAACCGCGGCACAATGCATGCATGTTCCAAGCGCGCAGAATGCCGAGTGCAGATGGAGCAGGCAGGCCACACGCAGCCCGACAGGACCAAAAGTCAACCCCGGAAATCCCCAAAAGCACGGAGGGGGGAGACCAACCAGGCGGGGGAGTCCCCAAAAACCCCAAGGGGACCTCAAGGAAACCAAGAGTCAGCCGCAGCCACTTTTTCCGAACCGTGGCTGATATGGCCCGTCCTTGGGGCAGCCAATGTGACGTGTTGAACAGGGGGAAAACAGTGGTGAAAGATGAACCCAAAAAGAGACACCCTTACTCCTCCCCCCCACCAGAGACGGGGCCGAAGGCACCCAAGTCCCGGCGGGAAGAGATCACACGACTCCACATCCAAAATGGCTGTGAGACAAGACCTAGCGGCTCTCACCCTTCAAGATCGCCTCCTTTGCCACCGAGTGGATGGCCGCCAGCCCGACTTCTCCGGGTTGCTCAAAATGACCGACCACAAGGCAGTGGAGACATCCCCCAGCCCATTTGAGGAGCTGAAGCGCATGCGGGGGGGTGCTCGCGTCGCCCAGGACTAGCCGCTCGTCCCTGGGAGGCTCCGTCGGCTCCACCCTCTTGTAGAACTCCATCCTGTCACGGATCCACTGATTATATAGCTGCTCCGGGGGCTCGTCCATCACCAGCTGCAAGCATGTGGCCTTGTCTTTGTGCCACCCCGTGATCTGGAGCAGCCTGGTCCCCCCGCGGCTCGCCCTCCAGAAGCCCTTGCAGAATCTGCACATATAGCCCCCGGTGGTCTTCAACTTCTCCTTGCTCACCACTTCCCAGGCGCTGATGCTGGGCAAGACCAAGCCACACTCCACGGAGGTCTCCTTGGGGAAGTGCTTGTTGATGTACTTCCGGCCCGCGACCGCCGTGACCGTGGCCGTGGTGATGGGCGGGTATCGCCTGGTGCCCTGGTCTGGTGTGCGGAGCGTGGTGTCTGCCCCCCAGCTCCAGGGGGCAGAATAGCCCCCTCTCCAGGGCCTGCCTGAGATCATCCGGCCACGCCGACAGGGCTTGAGAGTGTGGTTGAGCATCCATGCCTCTGCCTGAGCCTCCTGAATGGAGCCCATCGCCTGCCAGTGCCTGGCTGGCGTCAACGCCCTTCCCCTCCAGGTACTGGTCTCGCAGCTTGGCCTTGAACCGCTCCAGGGCACGGGCTCCCTCATTGGCCACCTCCTCTGACGGCAGGGCCTGCATGCCCTCCTGGAGAGGCGCCAGGATAGCCATCTCATTGTCCAGCATCTCCTCCGTGACCAACTCCTTGTGCCGCCGCCTGGCTCCGGGGTCGGTTCCCGATGCTCCCTCAAGGCCTTATGCAGCTCCTCCTTCTTCCGGATCGCCTGGTCCACCTGGGGGTGGTAGAGCTGGAAGCTCTGAGCCTCCGCCTCCTTCAGGGACCGCTGCACTTTGACCTTGATCTCCTGGCATTCCCGGAGCTTCAACGCCTCGTCGTCCGCCTCCATGGACAGGATCTCCTGCCGGATGTCCACCCGCCTGTTAAGCGGGACCACGTCTGCCATGGTGATCTCCTCTGCCGTGTCCGTTTTCGGAGGAGCTCTCCCCAGGACCGTGCCGTCCACCAGGTTGCGGTCTGCCTTTGTCCGGGTACCACCGGGGCCAGCGGCACCCAGGCTTCCCCCTTCCCGCTGCTGGATCCAGGTCGGCTTGCCCTCCACGATGAGCAGGTTGTAGGTGATGCCACGCCTCATAGGTGGCCGAGGGTGCCTGGAAGGGGACGAACTCCTTGCCTGGGCAGACCCAGCACTGCTTGGCTGCCTCTGGCCACCCCGTGCCGCATGCCTTGCACATGAACTTGTAATCGGAATGGCCTGCATCGAGCCTGTGCATTTGCTGGGTGCCAATGCACGCCTTGTTCCTCTGGAACTGCGAGGCCCAGACCTCCTCCTGCCGGATCTGGATCTTCATCGGGACATAGGCCTCCAGGATACGAATCACCAGGTCCTCCGTGAGATTCTTCCCGACAAACTTGTGGAACAGGGAGACCGCCTCCTCCACCGTGACGTCCCTCAGCAAAGTGGCCGCCGATGCCGGAAGGACCGGGAAGAGGTCTGGGAGGTCCACCAGCTTGAAGTAACCGGGTCGGCCCTCAACCGGCACCAACCGGTTTGTTCACATGAGCCGTGGTCTTCTGGGAAGCCGCCACGAAACCCCTCAGCCTCTTCGTGGGTGGTGTCTGAGCCTCCTCCGGTGGAGTGGCCCGCTCCGTGACGTCTGCATCTTCCATGTCCTTGTCCTCCTCCTCGGCGGGGCCAGGGGCACCCAAGCCGGAAGTCGGTGTGGCAAATGCCACACGGAGACGCTCCAGTGCACTGGAGAGGTGCTTCATCACGTCGGTAGCCGAAGCCGACGGGGGGGCCTCGGGCTCGTCCAATACCAGGCCGGCCGCCACTGCCGCCTCGCGTGTGCGAATTTCCTGGGCCTCCTGGCTGGCCATTTCAACCTCCTCCACGGTGAGCGTCTGGTCCTCAATCAGCTCAAAGGAGGTGGCCGAGGTTGCCGAGGAAGCCATTGCTTGATCGGGGTTAGTTCGAAAGTGTCCAAACTCAAATTTTTCACACAAATTGGGTTCTAGGAACCCAGGGCAAAGCTTGAGCCAAAATGGCACATGCCATTATGGTCAAGCATTTCAAACACAGTTCATGTTTCCACATGCGTTTCAACATTAACAAAGCCTCCAGTGGCCATGTTCAAGGGCTACAGGACATGGCAACAAAAAAAACACCTTAGATGTTTTCCGGTCACCCAAGCCTTTCACATTGGAATCACCGAGCCCTCCTTAACCCTCCGCTGCCCTGAACGACTCCATAGCGGATGATTGCCGGAGGAAAAAGGCAAACGGGCACCGCTGGAGGGCTGAGTTCTTCAAACAAATTTTGCACGCTCCAAAGTCCGGCCTCTGCACTAAGCGTCGGCGCCTGGCAAAAGAACTCGATGAGATCCCTGGACAAAAAGACTTGTCTGGGGCTCAGTTGCCAGCATCAAAACAATGTGGGCTAATATGACCACCATCATTTACCTAATGATTGTCATCCAATTTGGATCAACCTTCCATTTCATGGGGGTTGCACCCTAGGGAATTTGTTCATGTGAGCAGCTACTACTTTTCACAAGCCGGAAGTCAAGCTTCATGATGAGCTTGTTTTCCGCCAGTGAGCACGGAAGGAATTTGCCCAGGGTTCAAAGAGATTCCCCCTTGGGTTGGCATTTGTTCATCAGGGAAGACACAGAACTGGAAGGAGTGGACTCCTGGGACCTATGAAAATCAAGTCACTCGTGAGTCACAACCAAAACTAAAACAAGCGTAAATGGGTAAAGGACACCCAAAATCGAATGGGCTTCTTGCAGCAAAATGTCTGTGAAAGTTGGGAGCGAATTCCTCACTTTTGGAGGGGAACACCCCCCTATGAATACACTGGGGTTGATGAATATGGGGTCAACATTAATCAATTGTCTGCTCCTGGGTGCTCATGGTTGGGTCGCGTAAGGAACCCCTCGAATCGGTGAGCTCATGCGGATTGGCCTTGGCCGAAAGTTTCACACGCGCGTGTCCGAAGATTTGGACCGCGGCCAGATTCCGTTTGCCTTGATTTTTCTGGGTCCACGAAGGTATGAATGCGATGTTTCTCTGTGAAAGAAGGACAAAGCGCCCAAGAAAAGCACCTTCATGACCTCCATTTGCTTAAGCCTGGAAAAAAGAAGTCCAGTGATAGATCCCTTTCAAAGCAACAAGGAAACATGAAAAGCATTCAATTCAGCACATGGAAGATTCGTGGGGCAGGTCAAACACCAACTTAGGTTGTGACAAAATCGGCCATCTTCGCTTCTCCGGAGGTCACCCCACATTTCGGAATGAGCCGATCAACAAAGGGGCCTCTGTCACTTCCGCTGCGAGCTCTGCCTGCGGTGCTTCAGCGCTTCGGCAAGTGGGTGCTCGGCTTCTCTGAAGAAACTCCCTGCCTGAGTGGATAATTCTTTGCAGGGCTGTTCCCAAATCCCCTGCGAAAAGCTGAACTTGAGGCTTAAGTAGAAACCCTCCACTGAACCAAAGCTCAAAACCTAAGGAATCAGACTGCAGGCAAGTAAAATGACCCAAACCCAAACTTGGTTGACGTTGGAAGGGGAGCAAAATTTAAATTTTAGCAGCTAGGTGGGGATTTCCCACTGAACCACAATAAGCAAAAATGTAAAATGTTTCCCAACCACAACCATGCAAAGACGTTGAGAAAGTCCGAAACGGAACTCAGGGAGCGTGGGCCTCAGTGAGAATTGAGGTTCACCTCTGGCTGTGGGTCAAAACCAATGGTACCATTTTGGGTTAGGTGCACCACCCATTCTAGTCTATTCTAATGGGGATTGGGATGTTCACTGGGGGTACGGGGTTTTTGACCCATGGCCACCTGGGTATGTCCTTTTGCCTAGCCCTGAACGGAGTTCTGGACGGCCCTGGTCTTTTTTTGAAACCCAACTCTCACCCTGATAGTTTGCAACACATTGCCCAGCTTGATGCATAGAACAGGGGCCCAATTCTTATGGCAAAATCGCCAACAAACCTAACCTAGTTGTCGCACCGGGCAAGGGCTTCCTTTTGGTTCTCTTTAAGTAACACAAGCACAACTTCTTCACCCCATCCCCATGCAAAACAAAAACAACCAAAAAACCCAAAAAACAAAACAAGAAAACAGAGAAAGACCCCCACCTTACTAAGCTCCTTCCCCCCAAAAACGAAATAGCGAAACCACTCCCACTAGGCCCCCACCCCTTCCACCCTTCCACCCTTCAACCCTTCGGCCCCTCGCCACCCCTTCCAAAAGCGCCTGCGGCTCGATCTCTGGGTCTGGCAAACGCATGGACGCCAACAGCTCAGGGTCTTCGATGTCCGAGTCGAAGGCCTGCAGTGACACGTGACATATTCCCTTTGCGATTGTTGCGATAAGGAATGAGGGGATTCCCGAATGAAGGAAAATAGAGGAAATGGATGGTTGAAATCGGGGTCATTCCATTTCTCATTCCCTCAAGCTAAGAAAACACAGGAGCCTCTTTTGGTGGGACCTGTCCGGATCTCTGTTCGAAGGTGCTGAATTTCAGCACAGAAATGATCTAAGTTGTTGCGCTAAAACCTCTTGCCGGGCAACCTATTCTTTTGCTCCGTGACTGGCTGCTCATCCACAATCCACGCTGTAGTGCTCCTGCAGATGTAGGGTGTGAGCGCTGAGACCTTCTCCATCACCAAAGCAGAATACTACAGTTTGTATGCCGAAATCTCGTGCAATGCGATTGTCGCGTTTACTGAAACGAGCGACTGCTTATTAGCCTGTGTTGCTGCTGCGGCAATGTTTTTGCACGAAATGTGGCCACTTGCAGCCACTTGCAGCCACTTGCAGCCACTTGTAGTCGTGTGCAGCCACTCGCAGCCACTTGCAGCCACTCGAGTGGCTGCAAGTGGCTGCAAGCATCCCACCTCAATTCACGCACCGCAGCCGACCTCAATGGACCTTTACGGTTAACATTCTCTGACTTCCTCAAAGACTGTGAGAGCAGAAAGTTGGTCTCGTTTCCACTAGTTTCCCTTTGCCGGCCAAGGATCCACCCTTTGCGCCGGACTTTTTGGAGCAACCCCCTGCCCAAAGTATTGGGGAGTTTCCCATTTTTTCTCTTGGACCACAACTTCCATTTGCCTAAGTCTCCTTGAGCAAAAGAAACCACACATATGCCCAGCACTGAAATTGTTTTAAAAAACCAGCAGGGCAAAAAACAAAACTTTCATTTCAGCACATGGACCACAAGGGAAGACAGGAGCCCAACAATCCACCGAATCCCACGCCGGCCTCTGTGTCGCTGCCGGCCGCCGGTTCCGCCTGGCTCAGCCCCACCAAAGGTTCTGAAAGTGCGAACAACTTGGGGTCTGTCTTAAAAACGGGGACCCCCCCCCAAAAAAAAAGGTGGCTTATGTGTTAAAGCAAACAAATGGTGCTTATGTGGTTAAAAACAAATAAATAATAGTGGTGCTTGTGTGCTAAACATTGGTTCTCAAACTACCCCAAAAATTGGGACATTGCGCAGCAATTGTGCGGTGATGTCCCGTTTCTAGTAGTAGATTGAGGGTTCAGATATACAAAACTTTAACATGTGTGAAAAACAGCACATTGGTTGGCTTTGCGTCTTATATGGCAGAAGAGCCATCATTTCCGTGTGCCCCAAAAGGCTCATGAAATAATCAAGCATTTTCATGATCCTTGGGACTTGATAAACATTAAAGCACAATATTAATATGTTCATACCTGCATGTACATGCATCAGAACATAAATGATGTCGTTGCACAAATTCGTCGAGCACAGCGTGGGCGAGCTAGCAAAGCGTTCAGTCTGACAATGCACGACAAGCGCTCCATGTCGTTTGAGTCAGCCTCACAACACACAGATTACCAGTTGGCCACGAAAACGGGGCCAGCAAACAATTCAGGGACTACCTCGAACTGGATTTGGGGGTTGATGAAAATGTCCGTTACACACGGGGCAGCCGAGCAAACCAAAAAAAAATCCCCACAAACAAAGAGGGAAACGGGGATCACGGAAAGTGGATGGCTTCCTTGGCACTTTTGGGCCTAGCTAAAACCAGGCAGCGTAGTCGAATCAGTCATTCTCCTAAACACAGCGCAGGTGGAGACTTATCCAACTTCTACTTTCCCTTCAAACAAACGGTTTCTGTTCAAAGATCCCTTCAATCGCCTGGCGAACCCTGAACCCTGGCCAACCGTCTCCTTTCGGTTTACCTCCCCCAAACAAGTCAGCAGCTCTGCACGGGGAGGTCGGAAAACCTGCGCTCGAAAGGTCTCGCCGTGCGGGATGCGTTTGGGCGATTTCTCGGGCGCTTTGGCGAAATCGAAAGGCCGAAGGTCTTGGCGTTTTTTTTGGCATACCCTCTGGTCCACTCACATGGACTCCAGCATAGGGTCTATGTTAAGCGAACATAGTCGTCCAGGACCCCTCAGTTTGGTTCCATGTTCGCGGAGGGGACGTTATCGTTCAAACAAACGTGATGAGGCTCGATCTCTGGGCGGAGAACTTTGGTGCTCGGAGGTTGCTCCCTTTAGTGGCGCAGTCTGTTTCAGCTTCCGAATGGCTATCTGTCCTAAAAACCATCGAATGCCTCTAATATAACTTATGCATGTTAGCTCCCAAGTGTACACCCCCATAAAACGGTTTTGCTGGGATGTGCATGCACAATTGACCAGGGCTTCCGAGACCAGAAGCGCAGTTGTGCGACTTTGGGATGTTCCATGATTTCTACCCATCCAATTTTCGGCCGTGCATGTTTGCATGTCTGTTTGTTAGTTCGCTCGTTTGGTCTGGGTCCACCTTGGCAGGGGTTCGTTTCGGATGTGTCCACGGGCTCCGTCAAATCCTTATACACCGACCGGGAACGAGGGATCCCTTTCAAAGAGACCTTGAACAGCTCATAAACTATGGTGTTCTTCTGGTAAAAAGAAGATGGAACTGGTAAATGATTGGAACCAACCTGCAAGGTGCCATGTGTTTTCAACCCAGCTGACCTAACAAGGCCACCTATTCTCAGAACTACCGCCATCCACCCCCTATACGCCCTGGTTGGCCCAGGATTCGTAAAGCCCGGGTTGATTCATACGGGGTGTGCCCGTTGCGAGGAACCAACCCTGCGCTGATCCGCCAGGCCTGTTCACGCGAGGGTAACGTTCCACCAAACGAACAAAACCAAAGGAAGGTGTCCTTTGGCCGGCTTAGCCGGGATTCACTTGCCCGGAATCTAAAGGAACACGCCAAACACTTCTGTTGGGGCCTGTGCTCTCAAAAGGTGGTTCGGCTTGTCAAAACCGAGCCAGGGCCCAGCAACAAGGTTCAAACAGTCCCTCCATTTGGGTGGTGGCTCAAACAAAAGGCGCCCAAAATGAAACCCTGGCACATGAAACCTGGCTCTTAGATTTTGGAGCCACAGCCATTGCCATTTGGGTGTGGCTCAAGATTCAACAGGAGGGGTTGCGCAGGTTTTGGTCCATGTTTCCACCAGGGTTCCATTGTGGTACCGCTTTTTTGGGGCCACCGCCATTTGGTTTCGCTTCCACCAAAGGCTTGTCCTTGCGAGACTTTGCCCGGCGCTCCTTGTGCATGTGCCGAGGCTGGGTGAAGCGATTCACTGGAGGCTTCCGCCGGAAGGGCATCACCTGGCGCAGTGGCAAGCTTCGGTCCCCAAAACAGCGCTCCCTAAAAAGACACACACACACACACACACACGCACCCATGCCACAAGGGGACGAATCTTCATAGATTTGGCCCCCCAACAATTCAATCATGGGAGCTACAAGTCACTTGCCGTCCCATCCACAAACATGGATCTGACTGAGTGTCCTGGTTTGAAAAAGGTCTCTCTCCAAAGGTAGTGGACTAGGGGAGAAGTGAAGTAGCCAATGTGCTTTTTGGAAGGGAGGGGGGTGAATTAACTAACGAGAGTTGTCCCTGCTAATTTGCAGGAGAGCAATCTTAATTTCAGATCAAGTCGGAGGACCGTGCTCCTCGGGGTGGTTCCAGTTTGAGGAAATTATCTATTTTGAGAGCTTCCTCTCACTAGCAGGGTCCGAATTAAATCCGAAGCTAGCATTACAGTTGGGTGAAATTAATGCCGCAATTCCTCCATTTAGGTTTTTGTTGGTTTTTCTTCTCCAACAGCCGGCTGCATTCCCAGCATTCCCGGCATCTCTGGTATTTCTGTTTTTGGTCAGTTTTTCGCCCTTGCATTTCCAGCATGTTTTTACAGGGAAATGTCTGTAAACTGGCAAATTCAGACCTTCTATCATCTGGTGCCAACAAGCAAGACTTCCCTGAAAAAAGAACAAATATATTAAAATCCCTTGCACCCCACAGGCGTCGGCGGATGGCGTAGCGATTTCAATAACAAGTTCGCCTTCGGGACATGGCCTAAACATGGACCAAAACTGGACAACCAAAAGCTTCTCCAAGGTCGACCATCTCCTGTGGTTTTCTTCGGGAATCCCCAAACTCGGTCCATTCCCTGGTGAGGAACCCTACGTTTCCTTTCTAGGTCCTCCAGTAGAGAGGTTAGAATAAGCGTGCCCTTTTTTCTGTAGGCCAAATTTTAGTAGGGGCCCCCTCCCCCCCAAAGAGGGAGAGAGAGGGCACTGCAAAACCTCCCACCGGCGACTTCCCCGACCGGGGCATTGAGCTCGGAGCCTCCTGGATCTTCGCCGACCAGGTCCAGACCTGCTGGTCCCGCACGGCGGCCTGGCGAAACGTCTTCTTTTTTTTTCTCGACCGAAGGCTTATGGAAGGCAAGGGAAGGGAAGGGAAAAATGACATATAGAAACAACCTCACCATATTTTTTCCGGTTCTTCCCTTCCCGCAAATGGCCGATTGTTTCAACTTTTCGGGCTTGGAACATGAAGCACCACCATACCCTACCCGGTTCGTGGGTCAGGAGTCAAATTTTGGCACATGGGCCCCAAGGGGACGCAAGTGAGAGAAGGAGCAACCAAAAGGAGCCAAGTGGCTCGGTTGCAACTTTTTGTGGGCCCAATTAGGAAATCCGTTTCGACCAAAACAGGTTAAATAGCCATCAAGATTCATAGTTGGGTCTGCTTTTTTGAGTTGGTTCCCCTTTTTTTTCTGTGGACGCGAAGGGAAAAGGAAAACCACAAAAAAAAAACTGGGGGGGGGTTCCCCTAAAAAGCCACAGCCATGTAGCCAATCTTATCATAGAATGGTTCCTTTGCATGGTGTTTCGGCGCACGGGTAGAATGGGCACACCGTTTCTGTTGCTTGATTTCAAAGGGACACAGCAGAGCCTGAAACCCGGGCTCCTCAACAGTGAAGGTCCTCATTTATCTAGCTGCCCCCCCAATGGAACTCCAGCGGAGCAAGAAGATGGATCACCAACCAGTTTCCGCAATCTCTTGGCTGCTCATCTTCGCAAATTGACCTGGAAGCCAAATTTGGGGGGTACCCAGAAAAGTAGCTCGCTTCCAAAATGCAAGGGTTTTGGGGGCTCTACTGTGGATGGACCACTAGTTGCTAGTTGGCCTATCCAGTTCTTGTAGGGGTTTTAAGAGAAACCCAACTCGTGCGAAGTGGATCTTTTCCAGCCACAGTTTGTCAATCTGAGGGGACATTGGAGCTCACAATCCCCGGCCTCAGCGTGCCGTCGATCTCGGAAACGCACAGTGCAAGCACCTCGTCGGAGTCTGACTCCGGTTTCACCGTGGCACCAAATGGGATAGTGATGTATGGCCACGGGTCAAAATCCAAATCGTACCCCCAGTGAACATCCCAATCCCCACTAAAATGGACCAAGATGGGTGGTGAATTCACCTACCAACCAAAATGGGATCTCTTTGGTTTTGACCACCACAGTATCTTGAGATCCGTAACCCCAACCCTGGGATAGGAAGCCTCCCATCTTCCCAATTCAGGACCCCCAATTTGGGTGGCAAACCAAAGCTTCCATTCACCAAGTGGCTGTGATCCCTTCGGTGGCTTTAGCCTACAGCCCTATGTTTGACACAGTTTGTTTTAGAGAAGTGCTCACGATGAGCAATCTCCATTGCTTTGGGTTTGCAAAGCGGGATAACTGAACCAAAATCCGGGCATTGTGCCAGCTACATTCACCAAATGTAGATGTGTGTGTGTGTGAGTGATAATCTTGAGGGTATCCTTTGTAGGGCTGGTTCGAAAGGGAAACCAAGTGGAACCCACCCACTCACTGAGTCATCAAACTTTGGAATTTCAAATGGTCAAACAGCCGGCCGAAGGCACCCCGTTTATGGCAAGGGGATTCTGCCCAAACCTTCTACCCGAATCGGTCTCATTTGTGGCCCATTTTCGCCCCAACCCAAAACCAGGTGGATATGGGTCATAAACCACCAGGATATGGCCCGCAGGTCTTCGTCCATTCCATTTAGCAGGGTTCCAGCCATTCTGGGCACCTCCCCATTTTCGCCAACCCGAAACCCGAAACCCGGCGGTGGCGGCCCTCGGCCCAGCTCGGCTCAGGCGGTGGCTGCCATCCTCCGACCACTCGCGGATCCACTCCACGCTGTCCCCCAGCGCGTCCCGCAGCTGAGCCTACGCTCTCTGTCTTGGCCCGTGGGCTGCATGGCCCGTGAGCAAGGCCTAGGAAACCGAACTTAAAGGAAACTACTTCGGTTGTGTCAACAAAAGGGGCCCAAAAAATGGTGAAAAGAAGAAGGGACTCTCAAAACAGACGAATCCCAATGTAAGATAAGAAAAAGGGAGATCCGGGGTAAACCCCGATTTGCGAATACGCCCCCTGGAACAAATAAAGCTATTCCCAGCAACACAGGAAACAAAACAACAGATTCTGAAATGCAACTGCAAGTTTCGTGAACCTTAGAATGTAAAAACAGCTTGCAAGAGTCAGGTTCCATGTTAAATTGTTGGGAGGGTAGCCCTTTTCGTGGGTGTCAACAGAAAACCGCACGTTGTTGGGTGTTCCCCTATGAGACAAACCTCGCAGACCTGGCCGTTCTCTGGTTCCGGTCTCAATAGAATTATCGTTTGCACTCAAATGCTCAGCATGGACCGATTCTCAAAGTACCCTTAACAAAAATTGGATTTCACCGACAATCATTTTTGGGGCCAAAGGCCCATTCTTAAGTTGGAATTTTGAGGGTTCGGGCAGTTTTTTTTTTTGGCAAGCGGCTCAGTGACCTTTGCAATATCTCGTCAGAACAAAAGACAGCACACATTTTTGGATAGATTTCAACCACAGCGGGGAAATCCCAGAATTCAAAGGGTTGCGTGCGCTGTCTGAAAGCTTTCTCACCATCTCAAGTCTGCAGCCCTGCGGTCACAAGCCACAAACACCCGCCTCGCCATCGGGCCCCCGCATCTCTTCCTGGGGCCAACCGTCCAGGACAAAATCGGCAAGTTCGCTTTGCCCCAAATTCAATTCACCCACAAACCCTCCGGTAAACTGTTGCAACTGGGGTTGCAAAACATCTAGCTAACCTCCTGTGCGCGCAAAATTGCCACGAACCAACATATGTTTGTTCAAACCAGCCTTTCTCCTTCGAAATTCACAACCAGGCACGAGTACAACCAGGCAAGTTGCCTGCCAAGTGAAAAACAGAGCAGGGACCAAAGCAAATAAAGCCAATATGGAAATTGTAGGGGTGATTGGATGGAAATTGCCGGGACTCCCTTATGACGCAAGAGGCATCGCAAGGCCGTAGAGCTATCGGGATCTCTAAGGAATTGCTTCGCTCTCCCTATCGGTTTTTGCCCAACCCAAGCCATTGGCTCTACGTAGGATAGTTGGGGCGACCATATTGATATTGACTAAACTAGCCCAAAGGAAAGGGAAAAAACGACTTCATTCCTGCAGATCAACAAGAAACCTCATAAACTGTTGTTGTGAGGGGAACCTCCGTTTAGCTTTTGGGGACCCCCGTTTCCATGTGGACTTGCAAAGGGGTAAAAAACATACATACCTTTTCCAGCCAGAGTAGTGGGCCCAGTGATGGGCTTCAGGTTGCGCGAAAGTATAGCCAGGGTGTGCCCCTAGAAGTAACACAACCAGGTTTTACCTCGAAGCACCCACGGAGCTCTGTCCCAAGAAAACAGTTCGGAACGGTTTCAAATGATCTCCAATTCTCTGGTGGGTAAATCACTAGATCCTTTTTAGGGTCCCAATCTCAATCCAACCTCCTAAATCCTGTGTGTTCAGCAGCATGTTCCTATATGAAATTAGTTGGTCGGATTTGGGAATTCGGACCTTGAATCAACAGATTCGAGTACGGATCGGGGGGTTGATTTGGATGCACGAGATGTGGATCCACTCCGGGGTGACATCTGCAGGATTCAGCATCCAAATTGTTTGCGGGGATCCGGATTGCAAGCTAGGCCAGGACGCAGGAAGCTGTGCCTTTGTTGACTCGTCAATGGGAATTGCAACTTCCGGGCCGATTCCCAATTTGAAGGGAGCTGTTGTTGTATCACCGAAGTGCCCTCCTCCCCACACGGGTTACTGGGCCTATGCCATATTGTTTTTGCAACATCCTTGGCACTCTGGGTTCTGTTTCAAAAGGGAACAATCAGAATCGAAAACCACACCCTGTTCAAGGGTTCGCAAATTTTGCAGCATACCTAAGCGCTCTCATCATTCAGGGAACCCTCCCCCCCACAAAAAAACAACAACTGGTGATTTCCTGTTTGTTGGTTTCCCTTTGAACCAACCCCCAAAAAGGTGTACCAAAAGGACCTCACCTACCCGCAAACAAAAGGGCAACACACCATAGTTGCTTGGGCCGATATCAACTCTTTTATGGGTAGTTTGAGGGGCCAGGCACCCTCCTGTCCAACATGGACCCCACCATTTGGGGTGAGGTCGTGTGAGGTTGTTACAATTCACCCAGATCCTTAAAGACACACACGCACACGCCCACTGGCCGAGAAATCTGAAGGTTCCGGCCGGAAGCTTCGACAGTTGCAGCACTGCCGGTCTGGGCCGGTTGTCCAGAGTGGTCTGGCGGGCCCGTAGTGCGATGCCGGTGGACAGGGCTAGCTTTTTCCCCCCTTCACACAGCACCCCACTTAAAGAAAACTCGTTTCTCACTTGAACGATTGAGTGGACTGGCCTGTTTGCCACTAAAATGGTCCAGAAAAGTTTAAACGAACGAACTCGGGGAGTGAGATATTTAAAATGGGCCCAAAAGGTGATATTTCAATGCGCCAAGCGAAACATAGCGAGCCCTGTACGCACCTTTCGATCAGAATGAAGCTGCGTACGACCTACTGTATGGGAGTGCCCAAAAACTGGACGTTTATCCAAACAGGAGCCACGAGGGAAAAGAAGGTGCCACGAGGCAAGACATAAACACACCTCAAATGAGCTGTTTATGGCAGGTGTTTCCGTACTGGTTCTCTTCTTCAAATACTGCCAACAAGGGCGGTCCCTAGAAAAGGCAAAGACGAAGATCAAGCCATGAGCTTGAACGGTGTGCCAAAGAAAGCATGTCAGTCAACACAGGACTATGACTTGGCCAATGTTAAGGTTCTGCTACAGAGTCTACCCGTCTAGCCATTATAATTAACTCTTGGAGGAGGCCCCAAAATTAAGCCGTCCCTAATAGCGTAAATGTTGCAGGGAAAAAGTTGGCAGGATTCTCTCAGAGGTGCTAAAACCAAATGTGGGAATAATGCAACATCTATTTACTGTTTTCCTGTTGTCCGATCTGAAAGAGACGTGGAAAGAAGTAGCAAGTAGCAAGAGGAACGTGAGGTCGCAGCTGCCCATACCTTGAGGTCTCGAGGGTGTCAAAGGCAGTGAACCGACCCCGAAATGCCGAGGGCTTGGTTACTCAAGCGAATCGTATCGGCGCGAATCGGCAACATGTATTTTTCCAAATTCGCGCCTGATAAGTCATCGGCCGCATCGGCGGCATCCGCCGTTTCGGATCCTGCATGGTCACCTAGAGGCTTGAAGATTAATCTGTTGATCCCGAATTAGCAAACCCATCCTATTAATAGGGGGGTGTTCCCTCCAAAAGTGATGACCCCACCCCCTACAAGGGGTGTATTCAAAATCAACCAGATAATCAAGGGTTCTTACCTCTAAATGCTACATGATGGGTTCCCCTGGTTACCTGCTATAGTGGTAACTGGACGCACCGGACAAGTGTTGGTTTAAAGGCAACCCGCCCAACAAAAGAGACCCCATCTACATGTTCACTTAATTCAGAAACAGCCGTCCGTCCTCTCTTTCCGCTGGCGTCAGCGAATGGATCTTGTCCTTGATGCTGGCCAAAATGGTCTGCCGGGGTCGAAATCGCTGAGGCGATCGCTGAGGTCCCCAGCCCTAATTTTAGATCGGGGGGGGGGGGGGTCAAAACCCCCTTCAGTTTTGGGGTCGGCTGGGGAGATGCTATGCAATTGTGCGTAGAAGAAGCGCATAGGGAGCCAAACCAAACCCAGCTGGATCCTCTTTGGTGGGCTTTCTAGAATGAAAAGCGAAACAAAACGAACGCTTTCGATTCGGAGTCGCCTCTTGTGTTGACACTCTGCCACACAACGCATGTTCCAGACCCATTGGGTCTGGCTGACCTGCGAATGACGAATTGGTAAACAGCAGGACTCGGTGCTGACTGCAGCCATTCTTGGCATTGTTCAAGCTTTGCCGTATAAGAACGACAACAACACATAACAACGTTAACAACGATTCTGTCGGTTTCGTGCCTTAAGTTTTCTGCTGTCTCTTCCACCCCGCACCTGTAAGCTTTGATCCAGGGTTTCATCAATGAAAGATAAACGGGGGGTGTCCGATTGAGGAAAACAATATGCGGGAACACCCAATAATCCACTGGCTTTCTGCCGGGGGAAAAAAAACGTCCTCTAGGGCTTGACTCATCGTGTCGAGCAAGAGGGACCCCTTTCCCGTGGCGAAGGACCCCCGGCGCCTGCAGCTGCTCGCGGTTCCGGTCGGAAGTCGCCGGGTCGTTGATCCTGGCCAAACAAACCGAATTGTCCACTCCCTCCATTTGCATAAGCCCCCTCAAGGGGAAGCAGAAAAATGCAGACCCCCCCCAAAAAAAACCACAAATGTCCAATAGTGATAGATCCCAAAAAAAGAGAGAAATGTCCAATAGTGAGATATTCCCCTTTAAAAACATCAGGGGGAAATCAGAGATATTCTTAAGCAAATGAGTCTACCACCCAACCAAATCTCCAATAAGCGGTGGTTCGGGGGTGCTAATATTGCTGGGTTTCATGGGGCCCCAAAATAGGTGTGACTTTCTGTGGGGCTCTCCCGGGAAGAGGTCGTATTCCCTAAAAGCGACCAACTCTCCTCGGTCTTTGGGAAGGCCGGGCGCAACTTTTGACTCGTTGTTCCAACGTTTTCCCCAGAAAACACGAAACGGCGAAGAATGCACCAGATCAGAACCTTCCTGTCTGCATGCTGGGAGAGATCTATTGGACAACCTCACTGTTCTGGGAGTGTTTAGATGTTGTTGTTTCTTCGGGCTTCAATTCGACACGGGCACAGTTTCTCTGCACGTCTTTGCCAGCGTCGGGTTTGAAAGGCCCAACTGGTTGTGGGCTTAGGCATTGGCGTCCCAAAATGACAGAAAATAGACGGCCCTCTCTGGATGAAACAAACCAGGCCAACCAGGAATCGCCATCTATTTTCTACCACCCAAATGCACTTCGAGATGACGGGATGTCCCCGGCCCCACGTTGTGACGCCAGTACGCCACCGTGCTCGGAATAGCTAAGGCCGGTTTTGGATTGGCAATCCGAAGTTGCCAACAAATGCAATACCACCATCCTGACCACAAGCCAGGAAGCAGCTCTGCAAGGGGAATGCTGAGTGTGGCTTTGGGCTGCCAATCTTCACAAGCCCGGCTCAAGACTCATTAGGCAAGGGACATGGCCCTCTTGAAAGGAATCCTTACACTGTTCTCTAAGTGGGTCCAGGACCATCCCCACCGACCACATTTTCGGGGTGTGTTGAAGATGGCACAACCTTCCCCCCGCCACCCCCCAGTCACTGGGCCAGTTGAATCTTGTAATCTTTCAACCTGACATACGGCGCCCAGGTGCGCGGCCGCCCGAGACGCAGAACGTGAGGTCGATTGCTTCAATGCGTCGAATAGTTTGCAGAGGGTGCCAGATACCGTGTCTGGCAAAACTCACAATTATACATCCCGAGTTCTTGCGTGTTGTATGAACAGTAATATCCATTCCCTGGTTTTTGTGGGGAGGATTGAACATAGCAAAATCGACCATTATCCCAATTATCTATCCCTTTTCGGTGCCTGCTCAAAAATAAAAAAGCGAACGTACAGTGAAATAATTGCGCCACCTTTGGCTTCCTTTGAAGCTTGAAATCCGCAACCCTCGCCAGCTCGCCTTTCGGATCGGCAAGGCGATCGCTCGTTCGCGCGGGTTCGCTCGGCGGGCGCCTCGCCAGCACCGCTTTGAGCTGGTCCGTGAGGCTCGACAACAGGGCCTTGCGCCGGTCCTGGCTCGATTCGACTCGTTGAGCCGAGGCCGATGTGTCTGGAGAATCGGTGGCTTGGCTTTTTGTGGGGTGAGAAGCCCGAATGATGGTTGGTGTCTGGAGAACGGTGGCTTGTCTTGTCTTTTGTGGGGTGAGAGGCCCGAAGCTAATTTGGGTTGGACATGGTGCAACGTACCACAAGAAAAAGGGGGACGGGCTCGGGCGATACTCACACTATACTCACTTGAGTGGATGGGCTCGAAAAAAGAGCCCTTCCGTCTACGTTGCCACGGAACCCATGGTCGTCAGGACCCCCCCAAGTCAGGTTCCATGTTTGCGTATGGGAGGGTAACCCCAAATGGTCTTCCCCAAAAACGCCCACTATCTTCAAAACCAAAAAGGGAAAATATATAAAGTGTTCTCAAGAAAATGAAAGCTATGGAAGCACTGGGAATGAGGAATGAGGGGATCCCACTCCTTCCAATGGTGGCCGGCCCCGTCTCGGGCTTCAATCGTCCGTGTGGGAAAGAGGGTCCTCAAAACGCCAAGCGTGTCCATCTGACCAAATTGATCAGGAAGTGTCCATATCCAGCGTGTCCATGTAAAAAAGTGTCCATATCCATCCCCGGTTTGAGTTGTCTATTTTTAGACAATCCAGTTTGAGTTGTTTCTCTCATTTTCTTGTTCAGACATTCTCCTGCTTGTTTGTGTTTTGCCTGCTTGGCGCTTGGCAGTCAGGTTGGCTTCGGCTCGGAAGTCGGAAGTTGGCGCCGCAGTGCCCGCACCTGCAACTCCTCCCGCTTTCTCTTGGCTTCCAGAATCTTGCCTGACCTCAGCGCCAGACGTGCCGCAAAGGACCCGAAACTTCAGCGTCATAAGTGGAGCCGTTGGCAACTGCAAGTGGTACTATGGATGACGTTTTGCGGGGCCACGAAGGCCAAAAGAAGTGTCATGATCTCCCCGTGGCTGCTCTTTCTGTGGCTCCGAATCAGTGAAGAATGTCCCCAAGCAAAGAAACATGAATGTGGGTTTGTCACTTAATGCGGGACCCTCAAGCTGGGTTTCCTTTCCCCTCCTCGACGAGCCAACAAGGCATCCCCTACAAACGGAGCCCTGAACAAGTCTCAAAACACGGAAACAAGTAAATTTGCCTGCACCAGGGTGAAAGTCCTCAGGCAACATTCCGAACAGTAAAGGGGATGACCAAAACCAACACCTGGAAGTTGTGCCATCCACTTTTCCCCCAAATTCTATGACAGGTACGCCGCATACAACCGTTGAAGAATTGCCGGGCTCAGGGCCTGGCGGCTGCCAGGGATGATCCAAACAAAGACCATGAGCACAACCACAGAGCTTCGATTCCCGGAACTTTGTCACGTCCCTATCCTACATGGCCGTGATTTGGGGCCAGGAGATAAGCTAACAGTTAGGGAAATCACATCTCCAACTGGAGATCCCAACTCCCAAATCCCCAGAGCAAACCGAAACCTAAATCCCAGATCCAAAACCCAATCCCACTGAGCCCGCCGCTCTAGCGTCATGTTCCCGCTAGCCACAAGCGGCACACCTCCGTGAGAGCTGTTTACCCCAAATCCCCGCCAGGCAAAAGGGCGAGACACAACACGGTGTCACCGAGCAACTGGGGAAAGGAGATGATATGTGTTTTGTTTAATGGAGATGAGCCTGCATTTCTGCTAGTCGCAGGCCAGTGGCACCCTCCCAACAAGCCTCTGTACAGATTCTCAAACTTCCGCAACCGGTGGACACTGTTGCCATGAAACATCGCCCGCCATTCCAAAAATGGAAAATGAAGGACCCCCGAGGCGGCAAATTGGCAAAGCCGAGGCATGGACTCGGCACCACCAGCGAATGTGCCTGGGCGTAACTCCACTTGGGCGTGGGGGCCTTCAAAAAGGGGCAAATTTAGCTTTGCGTCGTGTTGAGGGTACCCTTCAGGTATGGATTTCAAGGGGAAAACCACTGGTTGCTTGCTGTTTTTTTTTTTTTTCTCGGGAGGTATTTTGACACAACCGATTTGGGCCCTGAAATGTCCCCAAGGTCGCACACTCACTCCCTAGGGTCCCTGAGCATCTGAGCCTCCAAGCGAACACCATATGTTCGATTCTGGTAAATAGATATCCTGAGCATGTACAATCATTTCAAACGAGGTGCTACTATAGGTTGAACACCCTGATTATTTTCGGTTGTTTGAATGTCTTGGAAAACCTTCATGTTTCAAGCAACCAATTATTGGTTCAACGAGCAGCCGAGGGCTCAGGAGTTCGAGTTCTTTTTCAGACTCCCGTGCCAATTGGTGCAATGATCTGCGCTTTGCCACTGCTCTTGTTCATTAAAAGGAGCTTGGGAATTCTCCGGCCATTCCATGCAAGAACCCGCTTGATGGTACAGAGGTATCACATTCTCCATACGAAACAGCCAAAGTGATTCCAATTTCTGAGGAACTTCAGTGACGAGACCGCCACAGTTTTGCCAATGAACAACCGCAACATCACTGGCCCGCAAGTGCAAGGGAGAAAACATGACCCGTCCATACAGTACATCCCTTTTACCTACAAGTGGAAAATGCATCAGAAATTGTCTTAGGTGTTCAAACCAACGATGCGACCCTGTTTCTTCAACTCCGAACATTGTTGACCTCCATTTTGACCTGTTGGTCTGTGGGCCCAAGAAAATAGCTCGGGGGGGCGATTGAACAAAGGGTCACCCTTGACACAACCGTTTGCTCCGTGGTTAAAAGGCCTGAAGCGGGGTCCCGGGGTCCCTTTTCGGCGAGACGCCTCTTGTTGGCGCTATCTGCCAACCACTTGCAGCATGCTCACAGGGCCACAAGAAGCCAGCGCACCTGTTTGCGTTTGGCTGAGTTTGCTCGGGGAGCCCCCTCCAACAAACAAAATCCCGAGCCAGTGCTAGCCAAGGTGCCATGGGCGCGGTCTGGCGGCAGTTTGGCTCTGAAATCCGAGCAAGGTTCCACTGGCCCAATGGAGCATACCTCCTTGATACAGTGTCTATTCAGTGTAGCGGGGGTGGTGGTTGGGGAAGTGGAAACTTGGAGAGAAATCAAGGGCAGACTCTTGAAAACAGATGTTGGCTTCTCAAAAGTATGCACCACATACCCTTGGGTAAGAACCCTTGGTCTATTTTCTTGATGCACCAACTACTAATCACGCATGCAGGCTCCTCTGTCCGGGATATGCTTGCTTCTTGGGGTTTCGCTCAGCTGCAATTGTTCAGGCCTCAACAGGTGCATGTAGAAAGGTTGACAGGAGTCAAAGGCAAACCCAGATATGGGTTTGTCTTTCTTTGAGCCTCGGTACCCCTTTGTTGATGCGAAGCCATTTGGGTGGGCCCCCTGCAAAAAAACACACACCCACATAGACCTTCAACTTGCACTCGGGCGGGGGGGGGGGGGGTTGCCCAAGCCGAACAATCGTCTTTTGGCCCAGACCCCAGGTGTTGGTTTCAGCACCAGAAGCACACACCCACCTCAGTTGGCACGTCATCTGGTGCTCGCTGTCCGGCCTGCGGCTTGCAGAACTCCGAACACAAAAAGTTCGGGCTGAAGGAGCATCGCCCCAGAACATAAATTCAACTTCGCGCAGGTGAAATCTCAAAAGCCCAGCAACAGGGGAATCATTTTCAACGGTGTTCCAGGTTTAGGGAGCAAAGGTGACAAGGCAAGACTCACCTTGCCGTGCCAAAGGCCATCGTCATGCTTTCAGAAGGAAACCTTAGCATTTCCAGTCCCAACTCACTCCGAGTGGATTTTCCGCGCTCGCAAGGTCCTTTCAGCCGCCATTGAAGCCACGCCAAAGAACGAAAGAACCCATTGATTTTTGATTATACCAAGAGTGCAAAGGTTTGCGTAAACACTGGATTGCCTTTCTGGAAGAACGGTAGAAATTGACCTGAGCGCGGCAGAGATAGGTCAGAACACAAGTTTCGTTGCGAAGACAACTGCGCCAGTGCCTTTATCGTGAGATGTTTTGGGGAGCCTGAATCCACCCTAGTGCGCATGCTTGGCCTTGGTCGCCGCACGCATGGACAATGTCCCAGCATGTCGAAGCAAGACACGTGTTCAAACACGACTCCACAAAGTTCATGTCGCTGACGAAGCCTTCGTCCATCATGTTATTTGCGAGATCTCGCACGCAGAAATTGCCTGACTGGGAAGAAACTTTGCACTTTCAAGGGAGCCAAAGCACAAGTCCTGGCGAGGATGAGCCCTCTCAAGCTGAGTTTCTTTTGTCTTTGACCTATCAAAAGGCCGATCAAAACCTGGTATTAAAAAAGTTCTACCCAAATGTAAGGAAGTTGGACTCCCAGGCGCTCCCCCCCTCCCAGGGTCTCAGAATCCAGGGCGATGCGTCAGAGCTTGGCAGCTTCTCATGCATCCACTAGGACCCAATGACGACTTGATCATCTTCATCAATCTACTCGTCGAACCTCACACCAAGTCGCATTTTGTGTGTTCTTTGCAGATCACTATGAACAGAAGCAAACCGCTTAGCCACCAAATCAGCTGCCGAGAAGGGAGAAGCACCGTACTATTAGCAGTGTTGTCTCTTAGGGTTTCCACTTGTTGGCCTTCCAGAACCAATACATCCCACACGTTTGGAAAACCCACTGACTTTGTAAATCTGGCCTAGTTCCAAACCGCAGAGCTGGTTTTGAATATGATGTCGGGGGAAAACACACACACACACAAAGGCATGCACAGGCACACAGGCACACACACGCACACGGGAGACTCCTTAACCCCTGCTTTCGCCACAACGCACTCTGCGCCGGCGCTTCGCCGACCGATGCGCGAATCGGTTCGCTCCTTGGCCCGCCAGGGTCTCAAGCCTCGCGGATTCGCAAGGCTAGGTGTCTGACATGATACGGGTGTCTTTTTGGGAAAATAGATGGCCCTGGTCGTTGATTTAACCACCAGGTAAACCAGGGCCCTCTATTTTCAACCAAATCAACCAAAAAGGACACCTATGGACATGATATTACGGTTGTGTCTTGTTGTTAGGGACCCCCAACATGGATCTACCTTATCATATCATCAGCAAACCCATAAAATCACCAACAGAGGAAAACAAGTACAGCACTATTATCAATCAGAGTTTGGTGTTCCTTTTGGTTGCCTCCAACAAAAAAAAACCTTTCATCATAGGCGTCGCCTATGTTCTGCTGAAACGTGACCTCTGCATCCACTGGCTCAAATGGATCAGCAGTTGGGTGTAACCCTCTCAAGTAGTCCAACCACCCCGTCGATGGTGCTCAAAGCTGAGCCAAACGCCAAAACAATCTGTAGGGTTCCCAGGACGCAGTCGAACGCCGGGAGAAGTGATGGCGCAACGCTGCAAAAAAGAAACACACGTTTGATTTCGTTCACAGGGTAGAGAAGCTCTCTCCACACCCAGGCACCCATACTGTGGATGGACGAAATCCATTTCGCACCACCTGAGAACCCCTGGAAGGATTCCCCTGTAAATACCAACGAGTTTCCCAGGTTTCAACCATGGATTCCAAGCGGTGTGAAGGAATTCTGTCCATCCACTGTATTTTATTGTATCTCTCTCTCTCTCTCTGTTTCGCGAAGGGTGTATGCACCAACATAAACAGGGGGGCCTTTTTTTTGGCCACCTCAAAGGTGGAAAAATGATCGACCCCCTTGTAGTGAAGGATTCCTTTTTGAGGGGGTCGCCAATTTTCTAAGACAAAAGGTGGCAAAAAGACCCCCCTGCCAAAATAATTACGTACATCTATGCACAGCGTACAAAGGTACATGGATGCATCCGGATGGAACAGAAAACCTGAGCCAAAAGCTCACGATGACCTCGAAAAGCGGAAGTGTGTGAGACCATCTGCGTCCACGTCCAGTGGTCCAGGGAAGCAGGATGGATTCCCCAGCTGCGCAAGCAAATCACCGAAAAAAAATATTGGCCCACATGTGGGGTACACAGAACATACTTAGGTTGCCCTAAAATGACAAACATATTTGGAGGAGACACCAGGTATCTTGCAGGGTTGCAAACCAATTGCCTTCTTGCAATGTGTAGCTTTCCAATCCTTGGTATGTGTTCGCACAACAACTTTGCTCTTTGCGGCAAACACAGAAACAAACGAAGCAAGAAGTTGAACCACATGCCAAGAGCAATCAATCATGAGAGTCAACAATCTGGGTGAATTAAATAGCACCATTGAAAAAAGTCGACCCCCACGACGTCTCCATGGGGGTGAAATCGGTTTCAAACCGACAGCTTGCGAGGTGAATTGCTTTTGTGCAGATACAGACCTTCTGCACTGAGGTTTTCACCCAGAAAATCCAAAGTAGGGAACCATGAGCTAAACCCACCCGACAAAACCCAAGCCTAAACCCGTGTCCGCTCGCCGCTTGGCCAAACCAACCCCGTCCGTAAACCAACCCAAGGTGAGCTCCTTTCACCCCGAAATCGCTCAATCGCTCTGCATCCCATCGGCCTATGGAGGGGTCATTCAGCACGGGGAAGCGCAAGGCCTGAGGCGGGACCCACACAGACTGACGCGACGCCCGTCGCCTACGGCTCCCGTTAGCCTTAAACCCTTAGGTCTCTGGGGGTTTCCTCGTTTTGGTAAACTTCCCAGCCAAAGGCCCACAAGGGTTAGGGGCTTATTTGGCTGATTGGGCTGATTGCGCTCATTGCGCCCTAAGCCTTCGCAGTCTTGAAGGGGTTGGGGGGGTTGCAAGGTCCTGGAGTTTCCGTTTGTGGCCTGCAAACGTGGCAGCTGGTTTCCCTCAATTTCGGCGCTGGACCTCTAAACAGACTCCTTGTGGCTGTTCAATCCGCAAAGAACCCCACAATCTGAAAAGTGTCCAAAGATTGGGGATCCCTTTTTGGTTGGCGTCTACAGCTTTCGGAAGCAAAGCAATGGCCCGCAAAACATCGCGAGCTGTGTGACTCCACGCGGCTTCCAGATGAAATCTCTGGGCCAAAGGACCAGTGGCGCCTGAAAAGGGACCAAAGGGAACCAAAGGCCAAACTGGCTGTGGGTCAAACATCGGGAAACCCCAAAATGGCTTGCCTGGTAAATGGAACCAAGGACTACAATCCGCGGTTAAAATTTGACCCATACCCAACTTCTACCGTTCGTATTTACAGAAGGCACCTGTGGGAGGGTACCTGAAAGATCAATCTCCTAGCGCAGGGAAACCTGCCATGTGGGGCAACTATGAGTCTTCTACTGGGTTTGTCGTTTTTAGGATTTGGACCCCGTGCTTTGGGCTCCCTGTAAAACCACAAAAAGGGGTAGCCCAAACTTTGATTTATGAGTCGGGTGTGGCACAGCTCCAAGCCTTCGGTCTGCCCATTCTTGGTTGCTATGAGCAGAATCGCTAGGATCAATCCGAGACCTAAACATCGCAAACCAGATCAAACTGCAGGTGCTCGGCAAATTACGATGAAGCACAATCCTGAAATATGTATGGAACCCCAAGTCAGCAACATTCATGATGGGTGATCTCGTTTTAACCCCAGGTGAGCTCGTTTGTCTTGTTCCAGAACACATTTCACTCACCATTCTGGGAAAACGAATGCATACCTGGGAAGACTGCGCATGTGTCGAATGATAGTGTTCAAAGTACAACCGTATAAATTTCACCGCCTGCTGTTTGCAAATTGGCAAATTCATCGTGTGGCTTGGCTTCCCTTGCCGGGAACAGGGCAGCATCAAAAGACCCAAACGCCACCAAAAGAATACGGATATGCATCTGATGTATCTTCTTTGGTGGGTTATAAGCGAAACCAAAAAGGATATCCACCCATTCTTTGGGGGCCCTAATTTTGACGAATACTATGAGCATAGTGAGAGTCAATGTCCTCCGGCCATCAGACTCGTTTCAAACCCGACAACCACCAATGCAAGCCACAAATTACATGGTCATGCTATGAATTAGGCACCCTCTGGATTCATCTCCACTAACCATTTCGTAGGTGGTTCGCTAGTGCAATTCATGGCCGCATGCTGTTTTGCCCTGGGTCGTGGCTTTGGGTAGCGAAAACCCTCCAAGGGGAGTGACAAGTGACAGTGGTTCCCTTGTGGGGTTACCTTTACGATCCCCTTGGGTGCAACTCAAGTTGGACACAAAAACTTTACGTACCAAACTGGGAGTCGACAAAGGACCTAAGGCTTTAAGGAATCCTTCAGTCTGGGGTCATTCCCATCAGTCAAGCGGATTTCCATCTGGGTCCCACCTCCTCCGCATCCTCCATACGGCTAAAGGTGACAATGGCCTGCATCGGCGATCAAGCCCGTGCTATGCCCAGCAGTGGAATGATTCTGATCGCAAGATTGGTTTAAGCAACCAGAACCGATTCGCCGCCTTGGATCAACCAGTTGGTTCAAAAATTAGTGTGTAAAACGTGTTGAAACTGTTGAGCATGGTCAAACAAGGGCTTGAGCCAACCCTCTGGTCGCTTTTGCTTCTAATTACTTAGGTGGTTTGGGGAAACCACCTTTCAGAATGAGCGGAAATGTTCATTCCCCCCTTCATCCCCCCCAAAGTTAAACCCTTGCAACTCGCGTTACGAATCATTTCCTAGAACCCTGTGCTGAACCTGTTTGCTGTTTGCGGCACTTTACCCGTGCTGTGATGCGGATGTAGTATCCCATCGTGACTACTGTACCACTCTGAAGGGGATCCCTTGGCATCACAAAAGCTGGCCCTGACACCAAATTCTCCAAAACCAGATGCTGCGGTAGAGGTCAAGTGTCTGCGGACGGCACTGATGCTCTCAAGGCTTCAACCAATGAGTATGTTGCTTTGCTGGCGATAATATATGAATCTGTATGACCTCTACCAATCATGAGACATGACAATATGCATCTACTTCTTCTTTTTTATACTATACTTCCGAAAGCTGAACAAAGGGAACCAAGTAAAGATTCTTCATCATGGTGAGCTTGTGGAAATTTGGTTTCCTTTAGTTTCCCTGGGAGCCGCTACTGGGCTTCGGAGCTCTCTCTGAAACCACCGCAAGGCACATTCTGCAGTCATAGCTTCCTAAACCGGTGACCGGTGTTGGAAGGGCGTGGATTGGAGGTTGACGGACATGTGCCCTTTTTCCTCAGTTTCTCGGAGGGTTTCGTTAAAAGCAGCCAACCACAAAACTTGTTGCTTGTTTCCCATGGCCACTGGGCAAGTAAGATGCCAGTTTCACAGACAAAGTCAGCTTCCATTTGCTAGAGGTGATTGTCGTTTTTTGGCCTGATTGTAGATGCCCCCTGCTTGTATCGGGCTGGAATGTGGACCCCAGCGACAAACGATGTTTTGTTTGCCTGGCTGGAAAACAAAGGGGGGGCCAAAAAAGCAAACCATCAAAAAGGGGAGCTAATTCTGGGGAAGTTGTTTGACCCGCGCGCATTGGTCATCTGGGCTCGGAGCCACCCTTACACCCGTGGAGTTTCACTGCGACTTTTTGGGCGGAATCGCGAGAACCTTCCGTTAGCTGCGGTAAGCTGCCTGTAAATGTTTATAACTAGGGCTGAGCATTTGGCTGACTTTTGATTGGAGTCTTTGCCCGTTACAAAACAACACATTCCGGTGGATTAGACCCATGTTTCACAGTTAAATGATTCGCCTAACTCTCAGGCCAAAACATCTAAGTGCCCTACCACATGAATCTGCCGAAAGCAGGCTGTTGGTTTGGACCGCTTTGGCCTCGAAATCTCTAAACCTTCTGGTGAGTTCCATGCAAACGTGGGCGTCCCGGTACCCCCCCCCCCCCCCGGCCGCGCCTCATGCCGCATCTGGTTGATTTGCAGCGAGGACACTGGCCTCGAGAGAAGCATTGAACCACGGAAAGGCAATCCCTCACGTGTCCCTAGGGTTCCCAAAGTCCCCAGTAAAGAAAGGCCCAAGCAGACCCAAATTGGATGATGACCATCCTTAGGACCTTGGAGAAAGGATGGAAGAATCACTCCAGGAAAGTTAGCTCATGACGACTTGTCCTGTTTTCAGAACATTGTCCGACTGCTGTGGTGCAGCACAAGCGCTGCTGGCCCCTTGCCTGCGCTGGCAAACATTCCTTCCACTTTGTGCTGTGGTTTGCCTTTGCGCCTCTTCCAGTATTTCTCCTTTCGGCTGTTGGAGCCAAGACTGGAAACGCTTCATTCACCCCCTCCTATGTCGGCAGACTGATTTTTATTTGCCTCATGATGAAGAGAACCAAAGAAGCCAGTACAAAGCAAAGACACACCAAGATCAGCTTGAGGTGTTCCAGGAGTTAGTTTCCCATTTCAAGACCGGGTCGACTCCAACCCAAACCACCAATCCCAACCACCAAGAAAGGGTTGCCTAACTTCCATTTGCTTAAGCCCCTTGGAAACAAGAAAACACACATTTCCAGTAGTGAATTAGATTCCCCAAAAATAATAGGGTAAAATGAAACATACTCATTTCACATGGACAAATATGGATGCGTCTTCTTTGCAGACCCCCAAAATGGTGGTGTCCAATGAAGGTTTCCATATGATAGCTAACATCTGAAGGAACACCTCACCACTCTCACTGAAGGGCTCAGCTTTCAAACCCGACATGGCTGAGGCGTTAGCCCAAAGCGGCCAAAGTACTCATTCAGCACATCCATCTTGTTGAGACTTGGCGGCACCTCCAGGAAACCACCCGGGAAGGGGGGGTCTCTCATTACACAAACCCATTTTTTTTTTTTTCTTCGGGGGGGGGGGGGGGGTTGGTGGTGGGGGGGGGGGGGAAGTGGTTGTTACAGTGGGAAGCCAAATTTTTGTTCCTTCGGGGGGGAGGGGGTTGGGGGGGAGGGCGGGTTCTCTTAGACAAACCCAAGCCGCTGCTGTTTCAGACGAACTTCAAGAGATGGATGCTCTAAAGGCCCGACAAGTTGGCAGACATGTGGACCCTGCCACAAGGAAATGAAAACCAACAATAACACACACACACAACTTCTATGGTTTCGACATCTACAGGCTTCAAGCAACACTGTCCAAAAGATGGAGAGTTGTGGAGTCGGTTGCTTTCTTTGTGGCCTGACTCACCCCGCTTGGCAAGCCCATTCCGCATGGCGTGACTTGGGTGATGACGAATGACTTGGGTGGACCCTCTATCATTCACCACTAGAAAAAGGACAATGCCGGATCCCACAACAACTCACTGCCCAACTCAATTGACTACAGAAAGGGGTCATGGTAATCATGCAGACTCCAGGCAAACCAACCGATAGCAAAAGGACAATGCCAGACTTGCCTGACCTTTCCCTTTGTTTCGATTTTGTATTTCTTCATTTTCCCTTTCAACCAGCAACGAATTAAGCATCCCTTGAAGAAAGTCGCTCAGCATGCATAGAGTTTTGGCGGGACGGGAAGGGTCGCCAGCCCAGGCCTCACGAAAACCTGTGCCATTCCATGTTTCCTGCAAGGGAATGAGCTTTAGGCCTCGCCGCGACACAGCTTGCGCGGTTTGTTTCCTGGAAGCCCCTGCAGTTTTGCTACCCAATCATGGAAGCTGACAGTGTTGGGTGTGAGACAAAAGCTTTCCTGTTCAAATCGAAAGAGGGCAAAGAGGAAAGTCAGTGGGGAAAGTCAACTCCCATTTCGGGTGGGAGCTTCCGGAATTGAAGTCTGGAGTTCGACTTTCGTTTTGGGTGACCATCGTAACAAACAAAAGCAGGGATCCTTACATTAATTGCACCTGAACATTGCAACTTCTTTCCTGGTGGTTTCCATTTCTTTTTTTTGGTGTTGAAAAAGCCACATGTTTCAAATGGATGGGCAAAATGAATCTCTTTTAAGGAGTCCGGTCAAAGGGTTGAAGACGTGTTCTTCGATTTGGTGGCGACCCGGGGGACCCAGAACACGCTCAAAGATGGGGCTTGGGAAGGGCGAGGGAAACAAACGAGAGGGGAGGGGGAGGGAGGCCAAGGAAACCCGAAAAATATGGCACCAAAAAAAGAGGGCTCATCTGGGCTCCCTCCCACTCCTCCCTCCCCAACCACCATGAAAACCGATTGGATTTGGAGGCAAATCCACCGCCTGCATCACCACGACGCTGACTCCTCCTCCCTCGTTTCGTTCTAGCCGGAGACCTTGCAAGCCCATGGAGCGAAATCCATAGAAAACTTGGCCACACATTCAACGAAAACGGCTTTCTTTGTGGGGAAAATGAAGGCAGCCCCCTTCAATCCAAAACAACAGTTGATTGTTTATGGGGAAAAGGAAGGACTCCGAGTCGCGCAAACAACCACAAGGTGAGTTACTCGTCGCGGTCTTGGATGGTTTTATAGAGGACTTTCAAAAGGAAACAAACAACTTTAGGAGTGCCCAAAGTTCTATAACTCCAGACTCCAACGTGGACTCCTCGGGTTGATGAAGCGGCGCGCTCTGCTCTCCCAGGTCAACCGTTGCATTCTCTCACTCTGAAGCTAGAATTGGTCGCGCCAAACAATGAATCAACGTCTCCTTATTGATCATGCATTGTTTCTCTTTCAAATGAACAAAGAGCCAAATATTCATATTGTTTCCCGTGGATCAATCAGTGTTCTTTTGTTCTCAGCTCCAATATGGTCATTGGGATATGGGTTGATCCAAGGGATTCCACTCAAAGAGTTCTGGCTCTTCACGGGGCGTAGCAGAAAGTCAGACGCAACTTTGCAAAATGAGCAACAGTCCTATGATTGTCAAGGGGCCACCCAATACCAACCACACACACACACACATGGTTGATTGCACGTCAAGCCGAACCCTGGCATGTAAGCAAAGCACATGTTTTTGCTGTCCACCAAGCACGCTTCACACACACACATGCCAAGAGCAGTGAATTACCGGTTTCTGTTCTTTGCCTGCTTGCCATACTTAGGACATGAAACAGAGTGCGAATCATGCCAGGACCAAACACGGATTTGAAGCCAGGGCAGCGGGGGTCAAACAATTGCAAACCAAACAGAAAAGCCATGTCTAGTACAACATGCTTTGGCAGCTTCCGGAGTTGTCCCTGGACTGTGCGATTGGCGTCCACAGCAGCCAACACGACCAGCAAGGCCACTGCCTTTCCTTGCATAGCGGAGGAAACTTTGTAGAGGGTCGTTGTTTCTTTGTGCGTTTGGGGGGGGGACATGCCTTCTTTTGTCACTGAGCGTGCTTGAAGCAACACTGCTCTTGTCGCTGTTGTGGGACACCCAACAGGCGGACCCTGTATTTTCCCAAGCATCGGCCTCTCTTGGATGTCACCCGAAGGGGAAATGTGTGTCTTCGAGCAGGGCACCCCGCAAACTGCAGTTCACCCTTGGTTTTCCTTTCAGGTCCTCCCAAAAAGTGCTTGCTACCACTACTATTGCGGGAATTGACCCTTCAGATACCAAAGTGGGCTATGACTACCCTCCCACCAGCTAACATGGAAGTGCACAGACCCCTGTAGGACTACATTCCTCTTGGAAAGGGCCTTTTTGCACCATGTTCGTTGGTGGGCTATGACTTTGTAACTTTCAAGGGGCTCCGAGGTCCTGCGAACGCCACTCCGTGAGCCCGCATCCATCCCATCTCCGCGCGCCGAGACCGTTGCTGCCTTTCCGCGGCGGCGGCTGCGATGGCGGCGGCCTGGGCCAACCCGCTGCGAAACGTTCACTCAAAGCGGTGCCCCAAAACAAAATGGGCGACCTCCATTTGCTTAAGTCCCCTGGAAATAAGATAAACATATTTCCAGTAGAGATAGATTCCCTTTGAAACCAACCAGGGAAAATAAAACATATTCTTAAGCAAATGGAAGGCGACGGCCTCCTTCTGGGTTTCCCTTCTAGCCTCTCAAACGGGCATCGCTTTTACAAGTTGCAACAGTTTTTTACAGTTCTCAAACTGGACATCGAGAATCCCCGAAGAAATCCTTGGAACAGCTCTTTGTACCCCAAAATCGGCGAGCTCGAACATCATGTCTGACTCTTACCTTTGGGGACTCGTTCGCGGGTTTGCGGAGAGGTGGGCTTCCAAATTTGGGACCCAAACGAACAAACAAATGGCTTTGGCTCACTTCCTATCGAGTGGATGGTGCCAAAAGACAAAGTTTTGTGTTTACCACTAACTCAGTTGCTCCTTAGGGACTCAGAACAAAAAGGTGAGCCATTTCAGGTCATGACTAAAGATGTGCGAAAACCACAAGGTCAAACATCAGGTTGGGACAACTGGTCTAAAATGGTCTGCCAAAAAGTATAAAGTAATGAGATGGTTTTCCTTTGGGTGTCCTTCTACAAGAATGCCCTCAACAAAACATGGCCGGGAAGCCTGCTCCGTCCAAAAGCAACCTTCAAATGGCAGCTAACCTTGAGGTGACTTGATCTAAGGGTAGACCGAAGCCCCACTTCTTAGAGTCCCCCTGGTTCGACACATATCCACCTGTCCCTTTAAAACAAGCTAATGTGCAAACCCCAACTCACAAAAACAACAGGCCCCCCCAAAGGTCGCATCCCTTTTCGCACCCGCAAAAACACACGAACCCCGCCCGGGTCTAGGCCCACTTCCCAGGCCACCAACGCCTAAGGCCCCAGCCCGGGGAATGGCCCCCGCCAGGTTTCAGGCGGAGGTCGGGGCCTCAGCATGAGGTCTTCCCAGCTCAATGGTTTACTTGCTGGTGCTCAGTAGGGATTGAGTTGGAATGACCCTTACAAACCATTTCTGGCCTGTAGGCCCCAGGTTCATTCTCTCATTCCCTACTGACCACCTGCAACGGTTTAAAGGGAATCCTCAAACTTTGAACTAACCTCATGGTACCCTCCCACCGACTAACATGGAAGAAAGACCCTTTCCACGAGGAAAGTAGTCCTTCTACAGGGGTCTGTGCACTTCTGTGTTAGTCGGTCGGTGGGAGGGTAATCATCTTTTTGAGAAGCCCTCCAAAGTGTTTGCTGACATAGAGCCCCAACCGCAGCCTGTCCACATATTCGCCCTACCTTAAGGGGCAGGGTTCCCAATTGCATGTTTCTGGTCTTCCCGAAAGGGAAATGGCTCGCCATAAATGGAGATCTCCAGGGTTCACCCCCATCTCCCAACTCCATTTGCAGGGGGGTGGGGATGTCCCAAATCTTTACTTGAAGGGATCCGGTCTGAAGGTCACACCTCTGGGCGTCCGTGCGGGTAGCCGCCCGGCGGGGGCCCCGGCTGCACGTGCCAGGGAGGCGGCGCGTTGCCCATCCTAAGGGAGGCCAGGTGGTTCCTCAGATGTGGTTCTTTTTGAGGGCAACCCTCGTTTTTCTTCTTCTTTTTTGTGTGTGTTTTTAGAAGGAGCGCCAAGAGGAACAAAACAAAAAGAAGTTGGGTGGCTCCAAGAAAACACCGCAAATCTGAGTGCTTGTAGGTGGCTTAGGGTTAAGCCAACCCAAGGTTCCATGTTGATTTGAAGGGGAGTAGTCCAATGGTTGACTAATACGGGGCCACTCTTGAGGGTGACCTTCACTTGTTGGGGACACCCCCCCCATGAATTCAACTGGGTTGACTCATCTGGGGTTCAACTGTCCGGTTCATTGAAAACCCACTTGAGGCATTGACTGGCACTGGGATGTTTTTTTTCAAATACAGCCCGAGACAAACAAATTGCAAACTTGTCACTGTCCAAGTTTCTTCACTTCGTTCTAGCTGTTGGAAGGCAGCCGGACCTGGAGCTGGTGTCCAAAGTTGCCGAGAAAAAGAGAAGCCTAAAGTTCGGGTGAGGGACATGCTTGATACACGCCTTTGACTCAGCCGATCGGACCCATGTTGATGTGACAAGCAACCTTCCGTCTTGTTCATTGGAGTCGAGGCCACGGGAACTTCAAGAGCCACGTAGGCCAAAACTCTTTTGCAGGTGTTTCTCGGCAACTCATGCCGTGCAAAGACTTGCGACTTCTTGCACAGCGCTACGGAGAAATACAACGGATCCCCTCCAAAGTCAAAAGCCGCTGCACCAGCCGCGCCTTCGGACAAGGAAAAATGGAAAAACAAACCTGCAGTCTTGACCCTCACAAAAGGGCTTCCTCTTCATTTTGGGGTCAAAAAGGGCGGGTTTCCCCCATTACCTCAAAGCTCCCCAAAACGTCCCACTGGGCCAAGCCCCACCCGCCCCACCCGACTCCCCGGGCGACGACTTGGGCGCCCGGGCCAGGCACTAGGAGGCCCCCGCAGGCCTCGTTGAGCAGTTTAGGTGGTGGGCATATAAACATATGAACCTAACATGCTGTTTCTTTGATATTCTTCAACCTAACACGTTTTTTTAGGTATACAGGTATGAACCTAACAAGTCTGCTTGTAAGGGTAACATGCTGTTTTTAGGTATGCGGGCAAAGGTCATATACATATGAACCTAAGATGTCTGCTTATAAGGCTATAGGGGTAAACAAGGTGTGTGTTTACATACCATGGAATCTTTGTGCGGAATCTTGATAGCCAGGAGTCAGGAGCAGCCGCATGGCTGGAATTGTGCTCACACTTCCATGCCGATGCGGGAGGAAACGGCACATTGTGTATCATCCTTTAAAAACAAGTTGCGGGGCTAGAGGTCAAAAAATGGTCCCACCCAAGCACACCACCGCCCGAACACCAGCGGTTTGATCTATTTGTGTCTTCCCCCAAAGGATGTTTGGGAGGTGTGTGTGTGTGTGTGTTTGGCAAGCCAGTACCAAGTGCCCGCAATTTGGAGAGACACAAGTGAATGATCAGCGGTGACAAGGAACACGCATAGGAGTTGTCGGTCAACAGGGCGCTTTTTGGATGGCTTCGAATTTCGGACAGAATCGCTTTGCCACCAGAAAGAGGCGGAAAGACCCAAGTTCATAGGGACACAGAAGGGCTATCTTGCAACCACCTCAGAAAACATTGGTGGCATGTGTCTGCTTTAGGGCTGCAACAATCCTGCATCAGAGGACACACCTTCCAATAGTTGGGTTGCCAGGGAACTCCTTCTCAAAGGACCTGGATATGATAGTTTCACCGTGGTTTCACCTTTGGCCATGACTAAACATGGATCCGGCAAACCGAACAGTCAGCATGTTCAGAGAAGCAACAACGGCGACGACCACGACGGCATCAGCAACAGCAACAAGAAAAGGAGAGGAGAGAGAAGAGAGAAGAGAGGAGAGGAGAGGAGAGGAGGGGAGAGGAGAAGAAGAAGAGCAGAATAATAAAGAAGTTGAAGAACAAAAGCAAGGATAAGAACAAGAAGAATAATAGTAAGAACAAGTAGAAGCAAAACAAGACGAACAAGAAGACCTAGAAGAAGAGGAAGAAGACTCAGAAGACAGTAGAAGAACCACCAGAACTAGAAGAAAAACAACAGACAGAACGACAACAAATACAGCTTCTTGCCTGGCACGGGCCATGCCGGTCCACGCTCCACTGCCCAGAAGGGTGGCCTGGGTCCGGCCCAAAAAATCCGCCGGGCTTGGGTTCGGTGACCTAGGCTTAGATCCAGCTGATATGGGTGCCTGGACCCTCAAAATACCCTTCACAGAAGGGACATTACCCCAGAATTCTCAGCAAACCCAAAGCACCATCATGGCTGGAAGCGATTTGCAGGGTGGTTAGATCCGCCTGAATCTCTTATTGGGGGTTGATCAACATTCCGTGAAAAGCCACCCAAATGACCATGGGTAGCTTTGCGTGAGTGCAAAACAATTATGCTTTTTAGTGGGTTTCCCCAATGATGATACCATGTAAAGTACTTTTTGATCAACCCCCATACGGGTGGTTCGTTTTGTTTGGATCCCCTTTTGGTTGGTGTTTAGAAGGAAACCACTAGGAACACCATTTGCGGGTTCCCGAACAAAAATATAAGACAGCCCCCTTTAGATAAAGGCAGCCATCAAAACGGCCAAACCAACAGCACACACAAGCTACCACTGATCATGTGTTGGGAGAATTGTTCACCCAAATGGCTGCGGGTCAAAAATGGGTACCCAAAATTCAACCCTGGCAATGGACATATGAACTAACATCTGCGGACCCCTTGTTTAATTTTGACCCACAGCCAAATCAAATCAGCAATCCAGATTTGCCAACATCCGGGACCGCGCCGTTCCTTTTTTCACCCAGCGCGCAGTAGGCCATGTCTCCACGGACCTGTCGGTTGCCTCAGTTCAAATGCCAAAGCATGGGCTTTCCAACTCGAATGACCCTTTCGGGGGGGTTGGGGTCCCCTGTCCCACAAAAAAACACGTAAGCCTTGAGGCCATTCGCTCATTCTCAAACCTTGCTCGTCTGCTTTTGAGTTGGTACCCTTGTTGGCCCCCCCCGCCAAAAAAAGGAAGCGTTTTGCGGAATCCAAAGATGCTTCAACGAGGGCACTTCATGATCCACCAAAACGGGAAGCGAATTGCAGGGGCTTGAACACAAACCAATGAGCCCAGTCCAGACCCCCTTTTCAGCCCATCAGCGGGTTCCCGGGACGTGTGTCTCAACCCCACCAAGACATTATTCAATACGCCCAGGCCCGCATCAAGAAAATAAAAATCCCTCTTCCCTGCAGGAAGGTGTTCAGAACCCTTGGGTCCAACCCACTTCCATCAGAAAGGCAATCTCAATATATACACTATACGTACACACAAATGCATATCTGTACTTCACACACACAGACACTTACTTATGTGTGTAAGTTAGATCCATGCTTCATTGCGTGTGTTTATCGTTAAGCCGGGAAATGCACAGCCCAAGAAGCCGTCCGAGGCATGGCGAGGCGCTGCCCGCATGCTGCACGTTGGATTGCTTGGCGATGCGGCTGCCAAACTGGATGGCGCGTTTCTTGAAGCGCCTCATTTTTCGAGGCAACCCGGGGTTCAAAATGTGGGTGTTAGGCTTACGCAGCTTTTAGTCCTTGGTTCCATTTACCAAGGTGCCATTTTGGTACATTTATGTGAGCCACAGCCATTTGTTTGAAGAACCATCTCATGGTTGCCTTTGAGATCACCAAGAGGAGATGATTTTTGATTGAAGAAACTGGAGCAGCGAGTCAGGAGATAACTATCATATTATTATATTACATTATCCTTCTTTTCTTTTCTTATGTTATCTGTCTTCTGCTTATTTATTGTTTACAGTTTTCTATATCCCTTTACCTTAAGGTCATTTTTCCTAGAAACAAGTCCTCAGAAACCGCTGTGCCAGGAAAGGCTCTGGAACGAAAATAAATATCTGGGAAGCTTGTTTACTTAGGCTTGACCGCCAGCGGATAAACACTGAGATAATGCCAAGTAGCGGCTGAGGAAGGGAAGCTGTGAGTCGTGGATGGTCTTCTGTCCTAGCTCCTTCCTTGCTAGCAGTCGCTTGGCCCAACCCTGAACTCCATTTGCCAAAGGGCCCCGGAGCCCCGGACCATGCGATTTCCGTCTGGCTCTTTCAATAAAAACATGCGGTGGACGGAAAAAAACGCCTGCACCACTTTGAAAGCATGGGACACATTTTCCTCGTTGGCAGGGGAATCATCATTCTCGTGTAGCCGGTGCCGGTGCAGGATTTCGTCCGTCCACCGCAAGCCGATTCCAGGCTGAGCAAGCTGGATAACAACAGCCACCAGGCATAAAAACACACACCGGGAAGCAACCAGCTAGCAGCTACACACACGCACAGCAAAGCCAAAAACGAAACCAAGCCTCCGAAAACGACACACCCAAATCTGCTTTGCCCGTCGCCTCCCTCCAATCAGCTTTGGGTTGGAAAATTTAGGTGAAACCAGTCATTCACCTCAAGGGACCAGACCCAACAAGAATAACCTTCTTCGGAAGCTCTGCTCAACTGGCAGTCTGAAAACAGCAACATCCCACACATGAGTGTCTTTTTTCAGGTTGGTAATCCTTTTCTTTCACTAAGTAAGCACAGGCACAGGACATGTCCTTTCTTACTCCAAAAAATCGGACAAAGAAAAGACAGCGACTTGCATGCGCTTCCATGATTGCTGGAAACTTAAGAAAGGATAGCAGAATAAGACTCCGCTCGCATGTATCTTGAATTAACCATGTGGCGAGTTTCTGTTGTGAGGGTACCCTATGCTGGTGGTAGTGAGAAACCAAAGAGACACCACCACCCATTTTTCGGGTACCCTGGGAAAAAGACAAACCCACATACAGTGTTCAAGCGGATTTAGCCCGGCCACGCGCAGAAGTGGAGGTGACGCTCACTTGCCAGCTGCCGCAGCATCCACTTGTCAGGCGCTGGATCTTCAGCACCTCTTCGGCGGGGTGAAGCCATAAGACAATGGCCTGGGTTTGTCTCACAGAGCGTCTGGAAATACCTTTGGCTGGAAATAGGAACCCAGCAAAGCACGAAATATGTTTTTGCCTGGTTAGTACAAAACAAAGGGGGTCCCAAAAAGGCAAAAAAATGAAAAAGGGGAGCTAATTCTGGGGAAGATACAAGGTTCACCTTTTGGGGCCTCGACTAAATAAGGACCAAGGGAAACGACTTACAGACCAAATCAGGGAAACCAAAAGCTGAAAAAGGCCGATTCAGGGTGCTCAGTAGCCCCGTGTTGGTGGGAATGAACTTGCAGATTCCCTTAAAGGAAACCATAGGCAATTGTTTGTAAGGGTCATTCCCTCATTCCCTGCTGAGCAATAGCAAGAAATGCAAGGGTACTACTGTTGGGGCCATCCAAAAGTTGGAAATGTCGACTCGCTTTGGTTGCAAGTGAGTGGTTAAGGGAGTCTCTGGCTTCCATTTCACTATTCCGGAGGACTTAGATACCCAATCGCTTTCCCCTGGGGAAATCACCTGGGGTGTAAGTCCTTGGGCAATCAAAAAATGGAACCCTTCTCTCGTGAGTTTCATGTAAAGGGATAAGCATAGATGGCACAACTCCAACTGCAGGGACACCATGGTCATGAGGGTGACAAAGGGTGACAAAGGGTGTGTATGGGTGCAACAACCGAGAGGGCTGGGGTCCATACTTGGATGTTCGACTCACTGAGGGCAGGATCTAAGAATCTACGGGGGACAACCAGGGGTTGGTTTTCTTATGACCACGGTAAGTACTGAGTGTGCCATAATTACACCTTCGTCATATCTGCAACATTTACAAAATCAGGGATTCATGGCCAACTAATGGACCTTCATCATTGGTGAGCTTCAGTCCCCTTGGAAAAACAAACATACTCCCAGCAGTAATAGATTCCGTTTCAAACCAGCAGTGTGAAACAACACACGGGTGTCTGTTTTGGGGTACGCCTTTTTTGGTGGTTTTAAAAGGATACCAAAGGACAACCACTATTTGTAAGTACACTAAAAACGGCACACTCAAATCTTCTTCAGCAGCGAAGTAACGTAGTCAGATTGGAAAAATGTGTGGCTTCAAGAGGCCAACGTGATTCGTTCCCCGATTTGTTTCTTTTGGAGCGGGTTTCCTGGGTATGTGTCAAAACCTCCATTTAGTTCTTTTCGCCCCCTGATAGAATTAAAATATGAATGTAAGTCAACAATAGGTTCCCAAAATGGAACCCTGGTAAATGGAACGGTCTTTCCTGGTGGCCTAATTTTGACCCATGCCCATATGTCAGCTTCCCCCTGATTGGCGGTTTGGAAGCTAGTCCATCTACCCTCTACCAGAACCTGCGGTTCAAACCCCCGAACCCAATCAAACCACCAACTAAGGCTTACATGAATATTGCCAGTAGTTGTAGATTCCCTTCAAAACCAACACGGGACAATGAAGCATATGATTCTACAAATTGAAGGAACAAGGGCCCAAAACATGGGTCACCTCCTCTTGGTTCCCCTTTTAAGCCAACCTCACAAAGGGAACTCTCATAAAACAAGACACGCACACACACACACACACACACATACATTTACAGTTGGGTCAAAATCGATGGCCAATTCCCAATTCCATCATGTTGGTTTAGTCATCACCTTACTTATCCAGACGAAGGGAAATGGTCCATCTACTTTCACCCAACTGTAAAGTGATGATTCCCTACCTACAGTGGTTGCTGGACAGGATTCCCCGCCGAAAGGATGTCCAAAGTGTCTACAGCGTGTTGCTTGATTTATTAATGAACCCCCGCTATTAAATATTATACATTATATATGGCTGTGGGTCAAAAATAGGTACCCACAATAAACACTGACAAATATCAAGTAGACTAAAACCTGCGGTCCATATCCGGTGGTTTGATTTTGACCCATACCCATGATACAGACAACCCATGTTTATATCATAGCAATCGAATGAGAAGCCGAAGCCTCAGCCTCGCAACTCGCAACTCCCAGGCCTCCTGGGCCGTAGGCCAAGAGCTCAATAGGCAGCCGTCCAATGAAGTCCAGCAAGTGGTCATCCAGGAAGGGATGCCTCTCCAAATCGAATGGGTGCCGATCGAATGGGGTTGGTTTTCCAGGGAAACCGAACAAATGCTATGTTTGGTACCTT